TGATGTCGTCCACATATCGCTATACTATAGGCGCAGCAAAACATGGGTAGCTATGAGACGGCGTCAGCTTTTTCGCCAGGATCTACCCAATCTCAACGGCTTTTGTCTTGCGCCTCGATCAGGAGATCGGGATGGCAAAGTTGAGACCAGGCATCCTAACATTTAATGAAAGATGTTTCGAGCCCTTGCAGCTTATAAACTGCGCTGAGACGTGATAGATCATTCGTTCTGCACGTTGTCAACATCCTTACAGAAACGTGGTGTTCCAAGCCACCAGTGAAGGTGTAAGGTCTATATCATGTATTTCTAATAACTATCTATATACATTTCCGCTCTTTATAACCTATCAATCGAGTTAGGTTCTCCAATATTATCTCTATTTGGGCTTTTGGTATTCGTTCGCGCCCGTTTTCACTCTACTTCAATATCTACATACTGCAGGATCGCTATGTAAGTAGCCTCTTCTGCAACTGCAGCGTCACACTATAATCTCAAGACGAGTGGCTTCAACCATTAGAAAATCCCTCTAAGCTACAAAGGTACGCTTTCTCGCCTCATACCGAAGGATATATAGCTTCTGTGGTAGTTCAATATAGAGCGTCGCACTCGAATTGAATAAACGATGGAGTCTATGCAGCTTCATGTTGATATCAATTACACAGGTTTATAGGTATCTTGCATTCTATAGTACAGCTGCGACCGAATTTCTACTTCAACCCTCCTCTTTCATAGGTAGCCACGAACGTTACCTTTCAATTGAGAATAACAAGGCAATTGATTTCTTGCTTCGATCTTAACAATACAATAGCTTCATCGTAACCTAGGTAAATAACATCCCAGCTTGTCTAAGATAAGAACCAAGGGTTCTCACGGTGTACGCAGCTATCCGTTTCTGGGTACCTCATCTCCGTGTGTCCCTCGATCCTGCAGCGATGCGTGTACTCCGACCTCAGAAGAGTTTTACGCCCGTAAAACAGACGTGCGTGCTCTGCGGTGCAACAAACAGATGGGCTTAGGCCTTTTTCTTGTGATGGTGTGCTTGTGTTGCCTTATCTTTTATTATGTTCTATTCTTTGGAATATCCATATTGAGCGAACTCGTGGAATCGCGACACGAGAGAAAGAGATAGAGTACCTCCATACTACCTACTACATTCAAAAGACTAATAAGCCTGCCATTTTCTTTTAGGTGGAGGCCTATTCAATGATAGCTCATCGAGTAGAAGATACATAACAATATTCCTCAGTATGCCGTCGCCAATGTTTCCTTATCCTTGGTTTTGCACCTGTCTACTTGGATACCTAGGTACCCATCCAGGTATGTAGATATTTGAGCCTGGGGTTCTGTGTGATAATGGAGCAAGTATCAATAAGAAGCCGTAAAGACTCTGTCACAACACAGTATGTCGCCGTGAGATAATGCATTCAGCCGACTTTGGAACCAGTCATGAAGAGTTACTATTCCGAGCTATTTTGGAGACTCGCTTTCTAAGCATTACATGGCATGATCCAGCTACCTCCGTATAGGATGTTAGAATGCTGTACTCTCAGACCTTCCCCCAAGAGCTTAGATCTGCCGGTGAGAGATGCTGGATCTTCCCGGTTTCCTAGTGACCGTCTGACAGGGATTCAGAATATTCGGGAAAGGATACGTGACCTGATATTGCTTTGCCGGTGGAACTGTTACCGGACTGTTGGGACTCGCCAACCTGTAACGACTTGTCGATTCCAAGCAGATGCGGCTTCCCGTCGCCCCATGGGTCTGATGATGCGGCAAATCCCAGTGGACTGGTTAGTTAGGTCAGTTGGCCCCGGCAATTTACAAACGCGGCCAAATTCTACAGCGGTAATCATACAGATCTTGTTCGGGGCTGTTCGAGGGATATAGAAAATCCTAGAATTAATTTCAAAAGAACCTTGGGAACACCTTGTGTTCGATAACTACAGAGTTACCATGCTGATGGATCTAGTTCGGAAAAGCCGCCCGAAACTCGTTATGCCCTTATTTTATACCCAGCTATCGTTAGCATGCGTAATAAGCCACTGTCTCAGCGTTTCGCACGTGGGTTTTGTGCTCACCGTCGTCATTTTAGGTGCAGACCAAGTATTTTAATCAACTCACTTGCGCTCTACTCGCCTTGTTCTTAATAAAACTGTAGCACTTCATTCGGGTTGCTGACCCTGTCCGGAAGCACTACGACGTTACCCGGTTAAGCCACAAGTGGTGCATTGTCAAGGCTCGCACGTAAACATGAGACGAATGGATGTAGGCTGATTAACCGCGCGAGAGGTTCCCTCTGCGGTATGTTTGCGATCTATGCAAGAACCCGTCGTTTGGATCCCTGGGGCAAGGGCTCACTGAATCTGGAGCTAGGTATCGTACTGCTTGATCTCAGGTGACGAACAGGAAATGCAATTGATTCGGCCACACAAGTAGTACTGGCCGGTAACCGTCTATAAATTACTGTGCTTCACCGTAGCACAGTCTATTAACGTGGAGAGAACCTCTCTTGGATTGGAAAAGGCGAGGGGTTTCCTGGAATTGGCCGAGGAAAAGCGTGAGGGTATTAAGGGGTCGGTTCAAAGGAATGTTATTTTTACACCCTCTGCTCCGTACCCAGCTACGGCTACACTTTTGATGGCTGCACAGAATTAAGCGAAATAGGTAGCTACATACCTGGGTACTGTGTGTATTAGCAGACCCAACATACAAATAGATTACAGGGAAACCCCAGGTAAGTTTAAAAATGGCTCGCTAAATGGCTCTCGGTGAGAGCCCCTTTTGCTTCTTCTGTTCGTCTTTGCCGGTGTAGTTATTTCTCTCATTTCGACCAGGAACCCTCCCAGTTATTCCCGGAGCTGATTTTATCCATCCAAGTAGAACCACCGAGTTTTTCTTCATGTCGGATAGGAAAAAATATTATTTCGGCAAGTATTGGCTGCATCAATGAGTTGGTGGCTTTGATCGTCATGCCATCCGGAACGCCATCCATGATCCTGACCGCCTCTTTCCCTGCTTTAGTGAATGTACGGCGGCCAAAACGGATTAAAATGTACAAAGTTCTAGACCAAATTCCGCCAGAATGCTAAGCCAGATGAAAATTTTTCTTGTTCGAAATCCCATCCTGCTTTAGCATGCAGTTTACATTTCTTACTTACGGATATGGCTTACAGGAACGTAGGTTGTATCTTCAAAAGTAGGAAAGGTGTATGCGGATGTTTCCTTCAGGCTATTCTGCACTGAATAAGCAATATGTCGGATGTGTCTACTCGGATACCTCCTTGAGGGTCTACATAGTGAAATGCTAATGGATTTCCGACCACCCAATTCCTGAATACTCGGCCCGCCGAGCAAATAACAATAAGGATAATTTACCATGAAAGTACACATCCGACCTTGAATCTATTTGAGCTTCACGTGCTTCTGTAAAACCGGAATTTTCTATGACATGTGTCAAGATGGTAGGATTTGAATCTACAGATTAGCGAGAAGCGCCACATCTCCTCGGCGTCCTTACGAGTAAGACACAGGTTTATTTGTCTCCACTAATATGATAGATTCCAGCCGTAGAAGAGGACTTGAAGGAATGAGTGGCTGGTTTATCAATCTGATCTTGCTGTCAGAAGTGACATCGGCGATGTGAAGAGGCAGAAAATTGCGACATTCCCGATAAAATAAGCACTATAGTTAGTGGCATGCATGCTTGACAGCAATATATGCCCCTTGGATTGGTCAGTATAGCTTACATCCGAGCCATCGACTACCCGTGTTATATAGGATCGACCATAGTAGACTTTTCTATGTTTTTTTAGGAATAGCATCATGAATGAGAGAAGCCCTTACATAGCTGATAGTTCAAGTCCTCTCATAAGCTTACTGTTCTATTCCTGCCTTCAAGCTTAAACCCTTCCAGCAAAGGCCCGTTGTCCGACTTTCAGTAATGAGTGTTAGGTATATTGCACTTTTAAACAACTGAGTACCCAGGTAACTTGGTATAGTTTAACACGGGTATGCATTGTCATTGTAGTAATCAAGAACTAGAATAAAGCTCGGGCTTAGTATAAGCTATTATGTTTTTTGTGCGTTATAACTTGCTCGTAGAAACTGCATATTTGTGACTAGACGTCGTCATCTTGAATAGAAAGACAGTAATGAAGCCACCGACGGCATGATCAGGAGCGAAACTATCTACGTAGGCTGGCTCGGGTTATGTTACCTTCTCTTGTAGACTGACGGAGGTTGATTTCTAACTCCACACTTCTACAGGTTCTTAGATACTGAAGAATTTGCATAACTGCATGAGTGATAGTTCTGATTGACCATGAGCTCTAGTAGAAATGGAGCGTCTCTTGCATGTTGTCGGCATATCCTTCGCCAGAAGCCGGGCGGCTCGACCGGGTCGGTGTTGAAGTCGCATGGTCTTGCTTACCCATGTGAGGCTCTTTGAAAAGGCTCAGTTGACTACGAAGCTAGTCTTCTTACAACCCCAAGGCTTGATGGAAATACAGTTCTGTGTTGTTAAGAGTACTTGTCGTTGTATTGGTGGTAGCGTTTTTACCTAAAACAATCTGTGATGGCTCAATTGGGGCCTTTCTAGGGCAAGATAATGCGGAAATGTCATTTCCTTGTGTCCATGATGCATAGAATCAGCCATTAATCCAGAGGGCATACTTATCATGTGGTGGGATAACGCCCGTACTTGGTTGTTGCTGGGGGAGCTCTCGACTAGCTACCCATCTGGATAGGTATAAAGGAGTCTAAACTCAGGGGTTCAATCATCAAATGCTAACATTCAATCCTAATACCATTGAGATGCTAGGCTACCTTAGGTATCTGGGTAGGTGGATATAGTTGGTGTAGATGGCTTCTCTGGGAGATAATTATTGTGACTATCGACGTAGTAGTGAGCAACCTGGTGAGCAACCCCTCGAACGTTATATAGAACGAGAGAAGAAAGGCATGGCATCGACATACTTTATGAGAAGTTGGTGATGATATTTGAACCCTACTTTTGGGCGATGCAAGCCTGATGATCTTATTAAATAGGTTGAATCGCATTATGGTCTTAACGTACGTCGTACTTTTTCATGCCTCTTAAATTATCATGGCTTCGGGAGAAGACGAGTGTCGGAGAGAACAGCGTACAATTTGCGAACAGCAAGAACAAGTAGAAGTTCCAATCTCTACGCATTTATGATATATGATAACCTTAGTGACTCTCTTCCAAGATAATAGTAGGACGGTGAGTTGCTTGGAATGACTTTTATAAAATTGAGAGTGCTGTGCCATGTTTAAAGGTATGATTCCTTTAGAGTACATCCCACACATTCAGGCAGGACTTTACGCCAAAACCACAGGAATATGCCAATGTGATGGACCAAGAAATCAACAATAAGCTTTGTTTGATCATTTTGACGTATTGCAGTATTGAATCCCCTAACCAACTCATGCGACGATATATGTAATCCCCAGATGACCATACGACTCTCATCTGTTTTACTCATGCAACGACACTGAAGCCAAAGGACCCGTCAAAGACGTCGATATCCTCTTCTGCTCTCCCGCCTCTCATTGCTTTTAACATATCCAAATGCGGTACCTTGTCAGGAGCATAAAAGGTTAGGAGATTATCCATATCCTCGTCCGTAAGACTGCACATATCATCCCAGCTGTAGGCGTCGCTGATCTTAGATATCCATTTCATCCTGCCGGGACCTTCTTCGGGACTGGGTGCCATCTGGCGTAATTTGGTACGCAGAACCCCCATCCTTTCGATTGCGTCACCAACACCAACGGGTAACTGAGTTCCAATCCATTTTCTTATGCTAGCTGCTAGCCTAGGCCCCTTGCCGTTGGTACTGACCATGATTTGTAGAGGACCATCACGATGTACGCTTCCAAAATAAAAGTCACATTCGGGTGGGACATCGGCTATGTTGGCTGGGATGCGGTGCTCTTTACAAAGCTTCCATATCTGGGTCGAGGCATCGGGATCATCGATGGCTACGAGAACCATATCGGGGGGACCATTGCTCGGGGGAAGGATTTCTAAATCCGAAGGTTCGAAAACACGATCGATGTGGGTAACCTCATCGTTGGCAATACGGTGACGAACTTCGGGGTTGAGCCCGGAGGAAGGGCTTATGACGGTGACATTGGCATTGGCGTTGAGGACGTTGAGGATACGGCCAGCCGCTACCTATACATATCATTGTGAGCAAGGGTCATCTTACACCTATATATCCATCCACTGAGACGATGTAGAAGTCATGGTGCTACAAAATATGGCATTGTATGGGCATATATGAAGATATATGTGTAGGTATGCGTGCGGATACACGTGTATGTATATATGGATAGGTATAGATATAACTCACCTCGCCGCCACCAACGACTAAAACATGTTTATTCTTGACCTGCCAAGCTAGAATCAAGCTACCTCCACCTTGAACCTTGGGGAACTGGTCGTTATTGTCGTTACTGGCCATTCTATTGCTTAGTAGGATTTCGAGTTTCAAGCTTTAAGAACGAGACACTGCATGGTGTTGTTATTGTTGTTGTTGATTATATATGTGAATGCATTGAAGCTTAGAAGTGGAGGCGAGGAAAATGGAGGAGATGGAGATGGATAAAAAATTAAGGATTGGTATAATTTAAAGCATGTTTTGTTTTTGTTATGTTTTTAGAGTACCTACATGTATTTCTCCGGAGAAGCTGGCATCGGAGAGGGAACGAATAATGAGCATCGAGAGATTTGATACGATTGATACGTTGATACGTTGATACGGTGTGATGGAGATAAAAAAAAATGTGATGACGAAAAATTCCAGGATAAGTTACTTGGGTAAGATGCTTGTAAAGTTTAGTACCTAGCTAATCGCTAACCTTAGATAACCTAGTGGCACGCGACAGAGTTTAGTATGCAGTATGGTGGGGAAGCCGCTAAATGTGAATAACTTGGAAAGTCTTAGCTGAATGGTAGTGATAAGTAAGTAAATTATAGCGATACGCTAACATGCAGAATAGGTACCTACTAGGTAGCATTAGTATTATCACATGCACTATATGTCTGTGATCCACTATATTCAATTTAGGTAACAGCCTCGCGGCTAGTATATTACCTCCAGGGCCGCTAGGTAGTAGTAATTACCAGTAATCTCCAGGCAGGTTTAACTTACTATAGCGAGCAAGTTACCTATAATCAGTACCTAAGTAGCTGAATGTTTCTGCCTTGCGACGCAACTCCGTCTCCAAATTCAACCCCAACTCAACTACGACAGTTACAACTACAATTCCAGAATACACTCGATAAATCTCAAACCATTCAACACCAAGAAAATGAATCACGAATGCGAAACCTCACTTGATTGGTAATTGGGGGTTTGTTCCTACATGAACTACGACTATCACTCCAGATTCGAATTTCATTCACCCCGATATTCTTCCCAGCACCTCCGAATTAAAAGTAGCGATTAGCATCAAGCGACACCGCGGAATTTACTATCCCCATGGCTTTACGAATACATACCCACTAGGAGACGCCCAGTATGTCCGGTCGCAAACTCGGAGGAGGGCGAATCTTGGGTAATGGGAAAGGTCTCGCACCTCCGGCCCCCCCAGCTATCCAGAGAGAAAGAGAGAGAGCTGCTAGCCCGTCCGCCCCCTCCGATAGTACCTTGTCCATAGGCTCTCCCACGACATCCATATCCCACGACACTCCGAGCCCCTTACCCGACTTTACTCAAGACTTAACATCCAACATTAGCTTAGGAGGACCTAGCAATGGCGGTCAACCAAGTTCTAAGCTTGTGTGTCCTATATGCGACGAGGAAATGTTAACTCTTTTGCAACTAAATCGCCATATCGATGATGCCCACCAAGAACTACCCGAATTCGAACACGATGAGGTTAAATCTTGGATAGACAAGCAGGTCCTTAAAGCCAAGAGATTTCAACCCCTTTCCCTCATTAACCAGAAACTCCGTGGTCTTGAAGTCTTTGAGTCCAACGAATCGCTACCTCCACCTGTACCCGTCGCCGGCCGAGCGAATAGAGTCCCTGTTCCCGATCTGCCTCTTGATCCCGACGATATAATTACCAAGTCTCATTGGCAACGACAAGGTCCGAACGATCTATGCACAGATCCGGCATGTGGGAAAAGATTAGGGGCTGTCAACGGCAGTATAAACTGTAGACAATGCGGGAGGTTGTTTTGCGAGGAACATACTATGTACCAGATGAAGCTATCGAGATCTGCGTCGCACGAACCTGTGCGGGGCCACTGGTATAGGGTATGTGAAACGTGCTACAAGTCAAGAGAAGGGTATAACGATCATAATGGATTAGTGAGGGATCACACTAAAGAGTTCGCGGCGATACGTAGGAAGAGGGTTGACAGACAGACACTTGAAATATCCAGATTGGAAAAGCGACTAACCAAATTGACCCAATTGCTCGCCAATCCACCTGAGGAAACGGGCGCAGGCGGTAGCACCGGCTTGTTATCCCCTCTGGCGGCGCAAAGAAATCAACGGAAGGCGATTGAACAATCCGTCGTTACGTGGGAAGATGACGGGAAAGTTAATAAGTGTCCATTTTGCCAACAAGAGTTTGCTTGGACTTTTAGGAGACATCATTGCCGGATATGCGGGCGGGTAGTGTGTGCGGATCCGCAAACTGGGTGCTCGTCCGAGGTGGGCTTAGACGTCGCAAGTCCATCCGCTCGCGCATCTGAGAAACTTGGAGGTGGTATTCCAATAAGTGTTGACGTTCGTATGTGTCAAGATTGCAAATCTACTATCTTCTCTAAGAGAGATTTTGTGGAATCTATTATACACAAACCGCCAGATCAACGGGCTTACGAGACATTGAAGCAATTTGAACGTGGTATTCAGTTATTATTACCTACCTTTCAGAGAGCCCTCATACCATTACAGGATGAGAACAATCCACCCAGTCACGCACAGATTCAAGAGGCCTCGAAGATGAGAAAGAGGCTGACGGACAGCTTTACTAAGTACGATGTAGCAGCTCGACGAATCCGCGACATGAAAACGGATAGTCCTTCACAACAGCAATTACAAAAAGCTATACATCAGGCAGCGTCGTCATTCCTACACATGCACATGCTTCCACTCAAGAATCTTCCTCGGATGTTAAGACACAATAGTTCTAATTCGACAAGAAATCGCCTACTCCCGAATGGCCATGTAGCTAGTCCACTACGTAATGGTAGTGATTCACTCGAGACGGCTAGTCAGACAAGCGAAACAAGTACAGTGGTATCAGCATTAGAGACAGAGGAGAAAGAGTTACGAGAACGACTTATTGTATTGGAGGAGCAGAAATACATGGTTCAGACCATGATAAGTGGCGCACACGGCGCTAGACGATTTGAGGAGGTTAGTGCTTTGACACGTAATGTCGAGGAATTAGACGCCGAGATCGAGAGTATACGGGGGAAGGTTGCGGCTGTCGAAGAGAAGTGGCAGGGCTTATACGCAAATGGTGGACCTGGGTTGGTGTCATGATGAGATTTTCCGTGCACTTTTTAAATCCGAAGGTGAAGTTGGCGGTGAATTACTAGCAAAAAACGAACGGGAGAAAGTCTCAGTATGGAGAGCGAGTGTGAATATATTGGACTCTTTATTTCTTCCTTCTTGGAAGGTTATACCAAACATGGCATGGCATGGCGTTGGTTGGGTATAGGTTATGTTATGTGGTTCTATGTACGATGTCGCTGGCTATTTTGCCCTTTAAACCCAAGAAAAGAACTGATGTGCACTACTAATAAATTATTGCAAGAGCATTGTGTTATTCATTATTCATTATGCGTATATATGGCCCAGAATTTGAGTATTTAGTAGATTTATCAAATAGATACGGGCTGTCCTACTAGAGATTATCGAATCTTTACTGGTCAAATGCTCTAATCAATGATATGGTTTAGGAGCTATTCCTACAAGCATACGTATAAGCTATTGGTATGACCGTCGCTACAAAAAATATGTAGGTGTCCAAGGGTTTGATTTATTCTAAGAGACTCGGGACCGGTCTCTTCGAAGACTGCAACAACGCAGACCGTAAATATCGCTCCCTAATATCGTTGGTCTCGGGCCAAATTTTAGTAAGGCGATAATCGGCTAGCTGATCTGCCGACGTCATTGGTAAAAGAATATATCGATCTCCAAAGCGATCCCAGTATACCTCGTCTCGCGGTGTTAGCTCCGTGATGCTACGCTGGCCCAATTCTTGCTTATATGCGTCCAGCATGATTAGAGGCAATCGATCAAAAGTATCATCCCCGGTCCCAGTTTCTTCTAGGTTTTGACAGACGGCTATCATATCCATAAGTACGGACCCTGCGTAGTCAAAGGCTAACCTGCTCCCACGCGCTAAGTTGACACATATTTTGGAGAAGGAGAGGGAGGCTGGAAGGAATGGCGTTATTTGCGGGTCATACGTCCAGCCCATGTCGTCGAGTGTCTCGTCCGGGTCGGTGGTGACCATAATTCCTCCTTCGGCACGGCTACTGCCTCCGCCGAGGGAAACAGGCATTTCTTCGAATGGTAGGTTGAAGCTGCAGTTCTCGACGGAGAGGCAGAGAATATCATCGGTTCGAACTTGGATCTTTCGATACACTAATGGTTCTGAATGTTTCGTGGCTCGGTCTTTCGTATAAGGTGTCATATGTCGGATTTCGAGACCGCCGGCGGTGACGAATAAACCGCGCCGTGGACGTGTTAGGGTGATTGTGGCAGATTCGTCTGGACGCGGCGCGCATACTTGCTGGGCTTCATGACAAACTCGCCGTAATACTTCGCGAGCTTGCCATGCGGAGGGGTCATACTCGGCCACGGTAGCATCGTCGTCAAAGATTGAAAGTCGTCGCAAGTCTAGGTATAGCCATGGCGGTGAATTACTTCGGTTGGCCCCGAGGTGATCGTTGGGGATGCAGTGTACGTTGAAAAAGTTGACGCCTGGTTCGGGAAGAGCTGCGCGCCATATCTGGTGTCGCAATTCGGCTGGGAGTTCGGCGAACTTGGTAAAAGAGGGACTAGGAGGAGTGGGATCGGGAGATGAGGATGAGGATGTCGACGAGGTGACCGAAGCTGGGGAGTCCAGACCGCTCATGTGATTGAAGTGGTCACTTGGAGGGGATTCCATGTTTAAAATCCTATATATATATATAAGTAGGCGCCGTAATTGTAGTTTGGAGAATAAGACAAAAAAGATTGATGTAAAATAAGGGACGATAATAAAGTTGATGATGACGAAAGAAAAGCATAAGACATTGGGTACCTAGGTATAACGTATAACCCCTGATGAAACCCCACGATCCCACTGTAGCTTTGCGTCATTAGCGCGGGATAGTTCCGCTTAGCCCTGTATCTATAACGGCATCCCCACTAGAACAAACACCGTGACACCGTAATAAACATCTAGATCTATCAATCCACATCATATTATTTCCACCCTCATCACTTATACATATTTCAACCGCGTACCTTGATGCCTACCTTGTTTAAGGGAACAAGACCTTATCTGTCTTATTCTACACAATATTTACTTTAATAGCTCCTCCAATTAATTTATTATACCGAGTATCAAACCTATCCGACCGTGTTTAGACGCGACGAAATCAAACTCGATTTCCTCTCGCACCAACATTCGATTAGCTCTCACGAGTAGCCAAATTGTCGCCATACTTCCAATTATTTAGAGAGATTCGCTCAATTAGTTAAATGTCCAACAATGCCTCCTCGAAGACGAAAGCGTGACGCCGCAGCATCAGCATCACCATCGCCAACCCGAGAGCCTTCACCCCATGAATCCGATGCTTCACCCGTTTCCCCGAGCGCCAACTCGACCCACGATGATGGGGATCCACCCCGCTTCTTCAACACAACATTCACCACCTACCGCGCTTCCCCGCTACACATAGGCAAGCAAGCCTTGACACCTGAGCGATTACAGATCCTATCGCGACGTCTTCGCGACACGCTCGTTGGTGACGTTGTACGTGGTGTACAGGTCGGACTAGAAGGTGACGCAGCATTAGGTCGTACAGGCGCGCTATATGCTGTGGACTGGCGCTGGATAAATGCCGAGCGCATCTTAGGTTCCAATCAACGAGAAGGCAGTATCGAGCTAGGATACCAATCCGAGGACGGGCCACAAAATAGAAGGCGACGCGTTCTCTGTATAGAATTGCGATACGAAAATGCGCGATTCAGCGCTTTACTCTTACCCAAACTAGATACAGACGAGGGTTCATCGAACCCGAGTCATCTACCCTCATGGACGTGGCAAGCGGATAATACTTCCAGAGATGAGGTGGATCAATCGGCTTTCTTACATCTACCACTACTTTTATTCCGAATGCCTGCGCCGCTTAAATCCGTACTTATCGATTTTTTGTCCAGCGCTTTCGACTGTCGCATCAATCCCCTGGCGCTGGGTACACGAACACTTGTTGGTAGTTGGGAAGCCTGGCTCTCGCATAATGACTCTGGAGAGATCAGACGGGTATTAAATAAAGACATTCTTATTACACTAGGCTTTCACATTGAGCCGTCTGAGCCAAAATCTAAAGGCTCTGGGGCTAGTGGTGAAATAGAAGGCAGTGAAGATCAAGTCACGAAATTGGAAGCGCCGCAGCTAGGGTTAAAATCTATTGATATCGCTATACCCGCTTCGGATGCGTACCGCTTTTTACGCGCTGGTACGAATATTGTTGACGAGTCTCGTGCGGCGGTTGTGAAGAAGAGGAAAGCGGATGCAACAACAGTCATTTCAGACGAGCAACAGGATAGAAGACGACGAAAACTTGCAGGCGGTAGGGATGAAGAGGGATGGGCATGGCGTAGCCAGGGCCACAGCAACGACGACAGAGATACGGAGAGGCTGGACGAAACGACCAAGCAGCCCTTCACCGAGGCTTTAGCGGCGTACATATGGCACCATCTCGGGCTTGACATGTATCACCCGAGTGTCCGTGTGCTACGTGTCGCATGTGACGGCTTCGCGTTATCGGAGGGGCGGCTCAAGGTATTTGCTCCCGCCGGTGGGCGCAATAGCAACGACGAGGAAAAATCGTCTACGTGGAAGTTGATGCGAGGTTTAGTACAAAGGGCTCGCGGTAACCCGAAATGGGGGATTTGGAGTGAAAATTGAATTAATAGCACAAAGCAAACCCGTAACGTTCCACCAGATGAGCTATCGCGGCTTTTATTCAGGGATGATGAAAACGAGGAGTTATGGATGGATTGATACCCTTTAGCAAGCATATAGTCCTATTGAATGGAAGTAATTGATTCCAAACTTTTAAGTAACCGCCCGAGCACCTAATCCGTCAAGTTGTTCGCTTTCTACAAATCCACTTTGATGAAGAGGCAACGGCATCAATATCGAACGATTCAAAAGCAAGGACATCGAAACAGGAGACATTATAAAATAATAACAAACTTCGTCATATATACCTCTAAAAGGCAAAAGACCCCCTATTCCTCGAGGCCTACGAGCCGCCCGGCTATATACAGTTGGTCATAGATGATGCTAGACGTGAAATCATGATAATAAACCCCACCGAACCAAATTGATGGCTGTCGTTAGAACCAACAAGTGTCACAATATCAATAATACAACAGAATACACACACCAATGTGTCTGTCTTATGCAAGACCCTGATTTAAAATCCCATCCTATCTCCATTAGGCGTATCACACAATGACAACTTCTCTCGTTAATGTACGGCATCAACACCACCGAGGAATCTTCGTATGCGGCCCATCTCCAACTCGCCCTTCTCGCTTTCAACTGCACGTAATAATCCGTCTATAACGACATCGACTTCACCTTCTGGTACGCCTGTGCATAATGCAACCACTCGTCGATACTTAACCTCGACGTCTTTGCTTCGGCTCTTAAGCAAGCCGACATTCTTCTTCGTAGTATCTCTTCTGTTCTTGAGTGCCTGGATGCGAGCCTGAAGTACCGCAGAACTAGGTAACAAAGCACCGTTTGTTGTATCTCCTCCTATAGAATCCAAGGCCGAGTTGAGTTCGGTTTCCCACGAGTTATCCGCGTCAAAACGACCATATGTTTGTTCTTGTCGTACCAAGCGCTTCTGCTCTTCCTCATAACCTCGGCTAAGATTGTTAATCTTTTGACGTGCCAGAGATTGCGACTTGGCGGTAGCCTGTAACGTCTCAAGTTGTCGTCGCGCGTCGCCTAATTGTGTGGATGTTGTTCGTAAAGATGCATGAAGGGAGTCAACATCGTGTTGCTTCTTCTTAAGCTCCGCATGGAAGCTGGTAGAAGTCTCGTTTAAAAGGTGTGTAATAGCTAACCACAAGTCAGTACATGTATAATAGAAAGGAAGGATTCATAATAAACTCACACGTGATGATTTCAGCACTGCTTTCTCTAGTTTTCTGGCAGTTACCGGCTACGTTTGCCTTGTCCGCAACTATCAAGTCACCATTCGTTCCGTCTTCGCCAACTTCACCGACTCCAAAATCAGTCGGTCTCAGACCTGCCTTATTGGCAATAGTAGGCTCAGCACCCACTTCAAGTAGCTGTGAGATGATACTTTTGTTGCCAATGCGAGCTGCGATATTCAAAGCGGTATCTCCAGATTTATCCTGAGCATTAACAATCTCACTCATAAACCGGCCAATACCCATCTTCGTCTGGCTTAGGCCGCCTCCAGCCGCCGTATTTTGACTGCTTGGGGCACTTCCTTGTCTTACGACCCACTCAAGTAGACTCTCAAGATAGTATCTGCTGGAATGATTCCTACCCTTCACTGCACTGGTGACAGCAATATGATGTAGGACAGTTCGACCCTTATTATCTCGAACGTCGATGGTATTTCCTAACAAATCAAGCAAATCGGGAAATGTGACATTATCTGAATTATTTGTCACTGCCGAGGCCCTCATGAGAGCCGTTTCACCAGATGCGTTAACTCGGTAAGGATTAGCACCGGCCGAGATAAGTGCTCGTAGGAGAGGTATGCGAGCCAATGTAGCTGCCCAATGAAGTGCGGTATGGCTTGGTGGATCTATCGGAGCATCGAGGTCCAAGGGTGATAAAGTCTGGAGCGCTTCATTCTGTGAATAATCGGAGGCGTTGGTGCTGGGATCTAGAAAGAGTCCCATTACTAGGCTACGCTTTCGTTCAGCTTCGGGGGAGAGGTCAAATGGTAAAGGAGGAAGTGGTACGGCATCGCTCTCGTGGATGTCAATACCAGCTTGTGAGTAAACGAAAGATTCGTTGGGCTCTGTCGGCGAACCGGGAAAATTGTTGGCATATATCTCCATGGACTGCGAAGCATATCCAAAGCTGTCTGCAGGAGTAACAACTCTTTGGCGTTTTCGTGGAGGTTCGTCGCCATTAAAAATCTGTGAGTTTTGAGCTGAGTATGCCGTATCAACATTTTGGCCGTAGTCAGATGTGAAACTTTGTTGCGAGTTTCCAGGGAAATCATCGGCGTTTTGCATCGAGGATTGGCGACTAAAGCTAGGAGGTCTTGTTGGACCATTCCGACCCCTTGGACCGGGTGAATCGAACCGAGCTTTACTGATAGCAGCAACAGCAGTAGACGCTGTACTGGAGATGTTCTTGAAAAAGGTTCCAGACAAACCATTGGCACGTCCTTCGCTGTTGGCGCTATACATTCTCTTTCTCTGCGCAGCCATAGCTTGTTCCTTGGTAGGAGTATTAAAATCACCCCTACCGGCAACACCTCCATCTTGGCCCATATCATAGGTAAGAAGAGGGCGTAGTAATTCCTCGACGCCGTATTGACGGCAAACCTCGACGCCGCGCTCGAACTTAATCCATGTGCCCTGATATTTGCCGTAGCCTCCTTGGACCTTTTCATGTTCGCCAGTCTGTATTTCCTTCTCGAGGATTTTTGTTCTCTTTCCCTTGTCGATGTTGGCAACCTTAAGTATTTGGGTAGCGTTTAACCAGCTATCTTCGCGACGGCGCATAACAGCAACTCCATTTACTTCCATCTCGTAGACGTCCGTACCAGAATAAATTGCCTATCAAGCACAAAAGGGTTAGCATACCAGCTTAATTTGTAAGGTGGATATTATTTCAGGGAAGCTAACCGAGTAAATTTGAGGCGCTTCATGGTCATGCCCATGACCATTTCCATTCCCTAACCTCATACCCGAGTCGGAGAATTGTCTATATGTTTGGGAGGCGGGTTGGCTCATGGTAAAAGATTGTTGTGATGAAGGTTGCGATTGCGACATTTCGACACTGTTTATGGCAGCGTCTTTGCCGCCGATACTATTGCTGCGATCAACGGACGGCGGGAATTGCGACGAAGATAATATGGACAAAAGATGCGATTGGCGTTGAGAGCTTGACAGGGGTGGAAGGGAGGAAGTCGGTCGGTCGATCGTAGTATGTAAAATGTCGATAGGAGGATGGTGAGATAGTAGTTATGGCCGAGGCCATCAGCAAAAGAAGAATGAGCCGAGGTGGATTCGAATCTGCGATGTGCTGGATGTAGTATTGGCTCTGTACAAGCTTGCGAATCGAAGTATTTTAATGGGGACAGAAAGGAGAGAAAAGATAAATCTCGGAGGTAGAATGCGCTAGTAGAGCAATAGACACATTTAAGAGCCAATTATTATGCCATCAATTCGCGATTCGTGATGAGGGTGTAAATAATTAAAGGAAGAGGAGCGACAAAAAAGAGTGGTGAGGAAAGAATAATTAAGTCGAGGTGGAATAATGTTAAAAAACAAGGGTTGGTGATGATAATGGTAATGGTGGAGGTAGTGCACTTGATTATGACAAACAATTATGATGAAATTTAGTGGCACTGCATAAAGAGTAGTGTAGTGGTTTAAGGTGATTAAGGTGGTTAAGGCAGGTGATAGTTAAGTATTATTCCAATCTTAAATCAGTATCGTCGAGATGATTAGGTATGAGGCTTGGTAAGGTTAGGTTTATGAGCTTAGGTCCAGTATTGTATGTCTGTACCAATTATCCGATTAGATTATGCCATCAGACAAAGCTTAAAATAAAGTCAAATAAGGTACAATTGCATTATAATTGTAAAGTAAGAAAGAGGGACGAAATGGCGATAATTAACACGGGGGTCAAAATCATAGACGCGCTCTTACTTTCTCTATTCTCTCGATCTTTTTTTTTTGCATGCAAAGTCCCAGTTTCCATGGGTCGCCCTCGTGACGATCTAATTAATTCCCGTTCCAGATTCGGAGGTTTCAAAAATCTGGAATTCAATTAAAAGATAGGAATTGGGTATAGTGTGTCGCCAGTCGCGAAAGGGTCAGCGGGAAAGGACGTGTCAGTTTCGTGTAATCGTGTAGTCGTGTACCTAAATTATTTGAAGTCGTGACTCGTGCCAGGGCGAGTAAAGCTGTGCAGCACTGAATTACATAGCTAGGTTGCGCATTTCTTAGTGTTACTTGCTAGGCGAGACACGCGCAAGGACCTTAACAAAATTAGGGTCGATTAAGAAGGGAAATACATAAGAGACGCGATGCACGGACCCCATCCTAACAATTTAAAGTGAGGGGAATTACCAAAAGTAGGCAAACTAACGAATGAAAGTGGAGATTCCCAGGTATTTATCCCGGGGTACTTTTCTTGAGGAGGGAGGTACATCTAGGGGTACATCAACGGAGGAATGAAATCTTTGCCGACATCACGGACGCTATACCTAAATAGGTCTAGAGGATATAGCTACTTATCACCATTATCCTTAACTTTTATGTATTCTTCAACTATGTATTAATTATTTCTCTGTATTGTTCGTTTCCTACTAGGAGAACGAAAGAGAAATGCCCCTACAGATCCCCCATCCCTCTACACCATTACATCTTTACCGACATCTGCTACGAGAAGCAACATATCTTCCACCTCTCTGTCGAACATGGATAGCCGAACGCATCCAATCTCGTTTTCGAGATTGCCGTAATGAGAAGGATCCTAAAAATCATATCAGAGATGCCCATCATGACCTACGATACCTCCGTTCTGCCAATGCTGGACATATTAAACGGCTATTACACCTATGCTATTTAGCAACAGGAAGAGTGGGCAAACGGCGTCGTCTACTAGGCAAATCTGAACTATCTAACGAACCTCATACAAGCTCTATTGAATTAGATAAAGCTAGACTCGCAACAGATAAACAACGAGAACCTGACTGGCTAGACAATTGGTCTGAAGAAAAAATAATGAGACTTGCTCAATCGCAAGTCGAGAACCAAGGTGGAGACTGGCCTCAGAATATGCGCCGCCAAATCGATCCGAAGCAAGTCCTTCCGACCGAAAATTGTTTTGGTCGTCCTCTTACCAAAAAGCTGGCACGAAACAAACTAAAGAAGCATTGGGCAGGAGTTCTCCACCAATTATTACCACCATTACCACAAGGAGAATGGGACCACCTAGGTGTCTTAGCCAGAGGTGAAGCCGACGAGAAACATTATAATCTACCCCCAAGGAGGCCCGTTGCGATATCGAACTATATCACCCCACAGATCGAAAAGCCAACAACATGGATAGATTTCGTTACCAGACCGGCACGATCGATCGAAAGGAACAATTCTCGAAGGACGAAAAGTCTCAGCGGGGTTGAAGATGAAGATCCCCGAGGGCATGGTCGGGCAATTGGCACCCGAGTAATAAATGGAAGAGTCTTGCGTGAGCTTATATACAAGCGCATTTGGTCTATGTCCCCGATCATCCATAAGAATCCCCAGACAGGACGGCCAGTTATCACCTGGGGTAAGATTGAACATACCATTTCTCGACCAGGGAAAAAAGCTCTACAGTTCTTCGAAGGTGTTAACAACAAGGGAGTCCCAATTTAACCAATGTTTGGAACGACCGCCGTTTATTCTCACGAAGTACCCAACCCTAACCAGCTCTTATCCTCTACACCACCATCAAATATCAGTGATATGGGTCAGGGCAAGTCATCTTCAACGAGTCTGTTAATCTAACAAACTAGCCAACTTGGTTAAGCCTTCGCGATCAACCCGCATACCAACCCATTCATTCATGGCCTTAGCTCCTATGGATTCGTAGAACTTGATACTAGGCTCATTCCACTTGAGTACACTCCACTCCAGTCTACCACCATTTGTTGCGACGACCTCCTTCGCCAGCTCAGACAATAACTTCTTGCCATAACCCTTTTTACGGTCTGTAGGTCGTACAAATAAATCTTCGAGGTAGATACCTGCTTTGGCTCTCCATGTGCTATAGTTGTAGAAATACAAAGCCATACCGGCTGGCTTGCCTTCTTCGTTGAATAGGAGAAGGCATCGTGCAGGTCGCGATGGTGAGGTAGGCTCAGTATTAGGGGCAGTGGAAATCGATTCGACGTTCTCGGGAGCGAAGGCTATAGTAGAGAGAAGTGTAGCATCGGTTGCTTCAACGGCATCGAGTTCGTGCTCGTAATCAGCCAATTCTCGAATTAGTTGGAGGATTGTCGGTACATCTATATCCAATTAGCCCAACCGAGTCGACATATCTATGTTGATTGTCCCCTGTTTTCCAAGTGTAATAGGATTAAGGGTGTTGACCAGTTAACATACCTTCTCGACGAGCATGTCGAACTTGACAAGGTGCTGCCGGTGCCATTGTTGAGTACCAATTCAAGAACGAAGTGTAGGAGTATTTGACACGATATCGAGTAAATATCCGTCTTCAATGGCTAGGTCTAGTATACCTAGGTATATATACTAGATATCACTAGAATTATTTCCTACGCCCTTTGTTAGTGGGGCAGGTGAAGGGCGCCGTAGAGGGGCTGAGGGGTAAGTAAAAAATAATAGAATACCTGAAGAATACCTAGAATACCGCTTCAGGCCCCGAAATTCGGTGAACCTAAACCATACCCAGGTACATATAGTACTTGTTAAAAGGACAATGCATGCACGCAATTATGCACAGGCGAGTCAAGTGGGTATGTACCTAACTGTACATAATTGATGCATTGATGGATCTAAATACATGTATGTATCATCCAGATCTAAGTTAAACTTTCACGTGGATATAACCGACCCGACCCGTTCCTCAGCTTCAATGTCGCAGAGATGAGTTGAAAATCTAAATTTTGGTTGCCAGTTACACACTTCCACCAAGAACATTCCAAAATTACACGCTATATGGTCTAACCATACTCTTAGAATGGATCGAAGGTGGCTTCAAAGATCTCGTCGTAAGGGTCCGAAAACTCAAGGAAGCGGATAGAGATGGTCGCAATCATCCTGCCATTCTTCCAGCGTCAGATCAGTATATCAGCGCAACGAAACTACGCGTAGGATTCTTGTTGTCTTCAAAAACTGTCGTGGACAGACGCTCGTTGCTGTCACTCTTAAGCCGAGAATTGGTAGGAGAAGGCCGATTCCTGCTTGGGGACACGATATTTCGGGTTATTGAAATGCACCATTACTTTTGATGGGAATTGCGTTGAGGGAATGCTCAATATTTACGTTAATCAACACAATCAACTCATAGCAACGTCTTGCTAACCTAAACACTAGGTACAAATAAACAGTATGGCTTTTCAAGAAGAAAGTCGGGTTTAATTAATTCTCCTAAACTTCCAATTCAACCAGTTAAACATTGACATCACTGATATGGCTTGTCACGTCAGACAGGGTCAATATGTCGTGATCCACCACCACCAAAGCCTTGCCAATCACGCAACTGAAAACTGTTACAGATTCCGCTTGTTCTCTCTGAAACTGGTACGCCTATCTTAAGTCAGTTACTACTATTATGATGCCATGAATTAGTGCCGCGGGTCTCAATGATGGATCTTACAATTTGGTAATTTGATCTGGGAGCTCTAGCTACCAAGGTAGGTATCTATTCCGGTAGACCGAAACAATATAACTTTTTCTCTCATCTCGAATTAACCATCGGCCATTGTTTCTTCTCATCTTCAATTGAAATAACATTTCGATACAATGGCTGAGAAAACTGTGGATGATGCTGGAGGAGGTAGCCCTGGCGCATCTGACTCTGAGATCGCGACATCTCAAATCAATGAAGGTGCTCTATTAAGAAAGTTGGATATAAGACTCTTACCTGCGGTTGGTGTTTTATATTTGCTATCTTTTTTAGACAGAAGTAACGGTATAGTTACCCCTTTGACATCGGACATATCCAAGCTTAGAGACTTAACTACTAACATCGTGTGTAGTCGGCAATGCGCGTATTGAAGGTCTTCTCGGTGATGTTCACATCAGTATGTTACTCTCATTAGCAAGTAGTTTACTCATGTATATCTTGCTAATCCGTTTAATTAGCTGGGAATCAGTATCTTACGGGATTGACGCTCTATTTTGTTGGATACGTGCTATTCGAGGTAAGGAATTGATACCAAAGATCGCAGCTTAGCAACCGACAATGTACTGAGCAGAAATTAGATTCCTTGCAACATCGTACTCAAACGCACAACTCCACGTCTCTGGCTACCGACGTTGACGATAATATGGGGTGTTGTGGCCACATTGGCGGGCATAGTTCAAAATCTAGCTGGCTTTCTCACCAGCAGATTCTTCCTTGGTGTTGGTAAGTACAGAAATGCCTGTCAAAAATAGCCATCTAGGAAGACCTATTAACATATTTCTAGTATGTAAAATTGAATTCACTTATATTTGTCTACTTATCTCGCGCCCACGAAGGATGCTTAGAAAAGTGCTTTCTTACTTTTCATATGGAGTATTGACGCAAAACAGGCCGAAAGTGGTTTATTCCCAGGAGTAGTGTTCTACTTTTCTATGTGGTATAAGAGACGAGAGCGACAATATCGTATCTCTCTATTCTTTAGTGCTGCATCTTTAGCCGGAGCCTTCGGTGGTATTTTAGCTTATGTTCGTATAACCTCGACCTGATCTAGAAATCACCAACAACTAACTGAATGGTAGGGTATTGGAAGAATGAGAGGAATTGTATGGGAGAATGGATGGCGCTGGATTTTCATCTTGGTATGCTGCATCAACCCACATAAATGCCTTTCGCAGTATTGGCCTTTTGACTAATTGCTTGATCAGGAGGGCATCCTTACAGTTCTCGTCGCAGCTGCGGCATACGGATTCATTCACAACTACCCAGACACATCGAAATTTCTTAACGAAGACGAGCGAAAGTTTATTCACCAACGCCTAGCAGCCGATAGTGATGCGACACACGACGAGAAGTTTAATTGGGCAGCCGTAGTAGAGGCGTTGAAGGATGTAAACTGTTGGCTCTACGGGCTGGGATTCCATACCATGAGTTTGCCTCTTTATACTCTATCTCTATTCTTGGTATGCAATATTCTCTCGGTAGCATTATGGACATGGAAACTAATCATCGATGTTTTAATAGCCAACTATTATATCCAATTTAGGATATACGGCCGCGACAGCGCAATTACTCACCGTTCCTCCTTATGCTTTCGCATTCATAACGACCGTCACGATCGCGGTCCTTTCCGAGCGGCTTGGCCAAAGAGCTATTTTTATCGGCGGATCTGCTATTTTTGCTGCGATCGGTTATGCTATTCTGATAGGAAATACCGATCCTGTTGGTAGGCCGGGCGTTAGTTATGTTGGTGTGTTCTTCTCCGCGGGTGGGATCTATCCAGCAACAGCTTTGGTGTTATCATGGCCTGCTATCAATGTGTCTGGTCAAACCAAGCGAGCTATTGCGAATGCTATGCAGATTAGTATTGGAAATCTTGGCGCTGTGTTGGGCACTCAGCTGTACCGATCAACTGATGGGCCAAGATTCGTTGTGGGTCATTCATTTGCTCTTGGGTATCTCCTTGCCAACGTGATAGTGGTAACAATTTTGGGCATAAGGTTGAGGAGGGAGAATAAGAGGCGGGAAACAATCGCAGAAGAGATCAAGCACGTAGGGGAAGTTGCTGATTGGAAAGGAGACTCAGACCCGAGGTGGCGCTTTGAATACTAGAGGTATTCGACCAGCGCGAAATAATTGATTAAACGCCTCAATGAGACTTGACTGGAGATTCAATATCCGTCTATACATTAAAGTACGCAATACAATGTCTACCCATCCACCAGGGCAGGCATTTAATCTAAACGCCGTTCCATCCGAAAATCCCAGCTAAAGAATTACGATCTCATGCAGTATTGAAACCACCCAATCGTCTAAAAGCAGTGTTCGCGATTATTGGAAACTCGCCTACCATCTCAATGTCTTTCGCTTTGAATTGATCCTTGTACCGCCCCATAGCCACCTCTGTTAAAAATCGCCCTAAATCTTGTGTAGGGCTCCAATATCCTGGAAATCCGCATTTGATCACGGGCCCGAGCACCGCAATAGTAGCCTTGATCTGCCAAACCTGGTTTGGGAGATAAGGCTTAATAGCATCATGGTTTGAAGCGTCAACAAATGAAGGTCGAACTGAACTTGCGTGAAAAATGGGATTTTGTCTACGCATGTCCGCCAAAGCTAACTCAGTCTGCCCTTTTACTTGGGCAAAGAGGGCTGAAAAACGAGTGGGTTTTGTTGTGGCACCTTCTCCCGAGACATACACGAAGTTGAATGGTTCCTGTTCCGAGCCTAGAGTTTGAAAGGCTTTTGATGCTTCCAAGGCATAGTCCTTAGTGATCTTTACATACTCCCTACGTAAAATATTAGCGACTCGGATATTCGTAGACTCGTGGTGTTTCGAGCAACTTACTCTTTGCTCACTTGTGTCTGGCTGATTCCTAAAGCCCAAACGCAACCCGAGGCCCCTTGAAGTTTGGACATAAGCTCGGAATCATACTTCTCAAAGTCCTTGTGAATGATGACGTTAACACGAGGGTCCTTGGAATCCTCTGCTAATTTCACAGGTCTTCTGCTAAGGACTGATATTTTGGTGACATCTTTCATCTTGATCATCGCGTCTAGGACACCAGAGCCTACAAGGCCTGTTGCTCCTGTAAGTATAAGATGCATCCTAGCGAATATTTTGTTTCAAATGAGAAAAAAGTGTGGAGGACGTTTATAGATTGTCGTCGTTACACCGGAGGGTCTAGTTTATCCTCTCCCACAAAGAACACTGTATGGATGAGACTTTGAAACAATCTCTCTAAGCTCACTCATGACTAAAGTTTATAACTTTATATGCCTACCTAACAATCAGCGGAAGTATAGTGACACCGAATTTACGAGTGTCAGCCCTATGAATGGAGTGACTCGGGGAGTTAGAGCTGACGCCAGCCCCAGCAGCCTAACCAGTCTATTCCAGTGGATTTGCTATAGTGGAGTTAGTGAAACGATTGTAAGCGGATTTAGTGCATGTTGGTGCTTTACAGTGCATTAAATCCGAGGATGCGCGGGAACCGACGTATTTTTAGGCGTGTTTGACTCGGAAAGGATAACAAATTAAATCCGATTTATATAATTACCGTAGTCGTGGACCTAGAAGACGAGATAAAAGGCACAGTTATATTACGGAGTTTTCCTTTTTCCTTTTTTCTTTCGATTGCATCATCGTCGTCGTCACCTTTGGCTACCTAGTTAGTACCTAGGTAAGTGGCTGGGTCGTACACCCAACACCAATCTGCAATCGTGATTTAATTATTACTCGTTATCCTCAAGGTCCTTATTCTCGTCAAAGTAGCTACTTATCTAAGTACTCATAGATCATCTAAATTCCTCCCGCCTCTGTTTAAAGTATCTTGAATGGCATCAAGCTCTGTCTTGTCAAAGCGAAAAGCGGCAGCCGCTCACTTGCGACCGTCCTCAACTCTGGTGTACGTACCAACGAATTGTTGCACGTTTTTGCAATAATAGTCAAGAGATAATGTTGCTGCATTGCATCCAACAATGCCCGAGTACCTATTCATAGGTCTAACAATATTGTTGATAACAGATCCAAACCGAGTAGGCCAGTCATCTACTTAACTGAACGCTGATATTGAACGAGTAAGTAATGGAAGACAAGGAGCAACCCATGACGAGATGTAGTCTGCAGCCCTGAGCCCCAACCAACCGGAAATGCATTAGCCCTACGGGGAAACGTAAAGATGGTGTCCACGGAGTTGGTTACTGCGATAGGTAGTTGGTCACAAAATGCAAGTTTCGTTACTGCAGTTACTAACACTGATGATTCCAAGCTGTTACTTCAGCTTAGGTACATAGTAAGTAAAGGTCGTCAATTCGCTTGTTAGAATGTAAGAGCTGGTTGTATTACTACACGAGGTATCCAGGCAGCAAGCGCTTAATACCAATTTTAAGCGATCATCTTGAAACCCGTATTACGCGACAGGACATTGTTAGACTTATCAGTACTGTACTTAGGTCGTACGTAGCTATTATGTAGGTAGGAATGCGGCAGTTTGGCAATATCCAATGATCAGCATTTCCGTCTCCGCGTGAGCGATTCAGCTCCGAATTCTTACAGCTATCATTAGTAGGTATAGGCGGGTAGACAGGTAGGTTGGTTGGTTGGTAGGCCGTCGGCTGAACACGGGATTGGTATTTCCATTCCGTATTCTTCCCTTGCATGCATTGCTAGGAATTGTTCGCATAGCAAATCATGGTTTGACTGATGCTTCATCGATAGTCTTAGGCGGTTCGAGGGGTTTGAAAAGCGAAAGAGAGGGTTTCAAGAAACTAGACTCTCTTCATAGGTAGACGTCATTGATGAGTGAATTGGGGTTACCGCTGACTAAGTTATGGGTTATAGAACCGGAAGAGGAATGTGGTCAAGTAAGCAGTTTAAGCGATGAGGGATTACAGGGTCTTGACTTGTCTAGGTAGCTTTGTTCGAGTAGGGGACCAATGGATCTACGAGGATTTGTAGAACAGTAGTATCGCCCAGAGAAGTCAACTAGATCTTACAAAACTTAGTAATTCTAGAAACCCGATGGATCTATGTAGGTTCTCGAACTAGGATGGGTCGATGTGACGGATGCGATAGGTCTAGGTATGTATGTGATGTATGTACCTAAGGTAAGTAAATCCTGGTTCTGTATCACACACAGCATCACCTACTTACTACCTTATTGAATGGAGAGATGTACGTATATTGTACGTTGGTGAGGGTAAAGGTAAGAGAGACATGTAGGTAGTAGGTATGAGGTAGGTAGAAATAGTTAGGTAGAAATAGTTAGGTAGCTTTGACTTATTCCGGTTGTTCCCATAAATTACGGTCTTCTTTCCACAACCCCTCCCGATCGCGGGATATGTAGGTATGTAATGAAAGGTCGCAAAGAGTAAGAGTAAGAAGAGTAATAAAAACAAGAAGAGAGAAAAGAAAAAGAAGTATGAGAGAAATATAATAGGACCAACCATACCCACGTGACTACTAACTCGATCAACACTTGACCCTCTATCTCTCTTTCTCTGCATAACCTTTACCTCTACATTTATACACTTATTAGCCGCTAGTTGATACAATTTCACTATTACCATTACTTGTACATGTACCCCTGACAAACTTTACCTAAACAGAAGCAGCAAAAAAGGAAAAAGAGAAGGAAAGAGTGCGGGGCCAAGACACCAAGACACTTCTGCCGACCCAACAGTTCTTAGACCCTCCAGCCATCCGCCATCCGCCATCCAGCGTCCAGCATCCTCCATTCAGCCCTCTAGGCTCCTCCACACCCAAAAACAACTCCACCAAACTCCACGCATCTCCACGATTCCTAAAACAACTCCCGGAGATTAACATCACTTACATTCACACTCACACTTATCTACACTTAGTTATACTTGCTGCATCAGACTATGATGCCACATGTCTAGGTTGTCCTTCCTACACATTCAAATTCGTCATCTTGTTCACTAAATCTATGGCCTCCTCTTTTCTGTCTTATTCCCATATCGGATCGAATGGCGCCAAAATCAGATACTGATTCTAGAGACGAGGAGCGCCTTGCCGCTTGCTTCAACTGTAAGAAATCTAAACTAAAATGTGTCCGACCCAATGGATCTGCAACTTGTACTCGATGTACACAACGTTCAATTCAATGTTCGGCGCCACTCTTTCATGTCGGTCGTCATAAAGGAGTAAAAAAGTGAGTTGTAATACGTTCCTGTGCCGCTTTGACACTTTCGCGCATAAAGTGACTGACTATTACGGCAGCAAACATTCGGGGTTGGAAAAAGCCGTCTTTCAAATAGAACAGGCGTTGAGAAGGTCACACGCAGGTTCTATCGATCAGGTACAGACGGCAGAGCAAGCCACTGAATTGAGATTTTTATTAGAGAGGAGCAGGGAACTCCTCAGTGGCGAGAATGGACTTCCCCGGCACATATCCGCAGCTCAGAATGGCGTAGATCGCGACCAGGTGTCTGTATCTCCCCAGCAGACTTCAACCTCGATTGGGACGTCGCCTTCGCAGGACTGCTCTCGTGACGATTCAGCAGTAGCAAATACCAAGGTCGAAGAAGATCAACTTAGTTTAGACGATGCCGAGAATCCACTGCAATTGTTAGCTCGGACATCGGAACTATTATCATCTATAACGCCACAAGTGCAAGGATCCGGTGCAGGCCGTCTTCCTTCCAAATCTAATTCTCAGCGTGGCTTAGGAGGGGAAGGAGATGATTTGCAGAAATTCTTTGGCCGTTTTCAAGCGCGATTGGATGTAGGCGAAGATCTTGATCCCATTGAACTGGGCCTCATCACCGTTGCGGAAGCCGAGACGTTATTCGCATAGTATGATTATATCGCTTCGCATTCTCAAGAATTTCTGTACTAACCAATGTTACTAGTTTTTATGAAAAACTCGCACATACGCGTTGGGGAATTGACCCCGTGATACACACCGTGGATTTTATTCGAAACAGGTCGGCTTTTCTACTGACCTCAATAGCCGCCGCGTCGGCACTATTTTCACCATCTATGGAAGCATTATATAAGAGACTTTCTAATCATCGACAAAAGCTCGCCAGTCTTATCATGTCAAAGCGCTATAAATCGGTAGAGATTATCCTAGCATTCATGGTGAATATACCATGGATCTCGGCTGGTGAACATTGGGCTGATGACGAAACCTCGACTTACCTTTCCATGGCTTTGACGTTTGCATTGGATCTATCTCTAAACAAGATCATTTTGCCTTCATCTACGGAGCCGCGAAGTCCAAGAGATAGTTTTGCCACATCCGACTGTATTTCTGGCAGGAAAGCCCTTGCGATGGATGGTTTTAATATGGATCCGGATTCCCCGAGGGGAAGAAGGCTCTTGAGGAGAAGAGAACGAACTTGGCTATCTCTTTTTGTTCTTGAAAGAGGGTAATGAAACGCAAACGCCTTGTTAAGCAGGACGGAATCGCTAACTTATTTGCAGCGTATGTCTTGCAAGAGGAAGGAATTATGTTCTGCCAATGTCTCCACTCATTGAAAGTTGCGATCAATGGCATTTGAGCGACTTGGCGGATAGATGGGATGGTTCAATTGTCTCAGTCGCAGTTTTAAGAAGAGATCTGGTAATCTTCCACTTGCGCCATCAACAGATATTTGGCTAATCCGGTTTTTACAGACGAATATCATCACAAAAGTAAGAGCAATTTGCGATAGTTATGCCAACGGTAATAGTGAATCCTCTGTTGTGGATAGGTACGTTTTCCCAGTACTGACCACCAAGAACTATTCACTTACCACGATTTTAGAGTCAAGCATGAAATTACACTTTTCTTCGATAGATGGTACCAAACTTGGCCCCTGCAATTAGGCGATCGTGAGCGTAAGTTTTCTTCTTTAGTCATGTTGTGGGTGATAATGTAGGTAGTCTAGCTAACTGGAAACAGAACTATCGTTGCCCCCGTATGTCGAGATTCTGGCATCCCACACTCGACTATCTCTGTACAGCTCTGTGATTAACCATAGCACTGCACCCGTCGGAGCACGTCATTTCTTTCGTGCTGCTGGTCTTTCATCCGCATTAAATGTTCTGCGAGTGGCTGTGCAGGGCGAGGGGCAGCTAAGGTCTATGCCTAACAACACCGCCATCATGATATCCTTTGCTGCATGTTTCGCCCTCAGGGTTAGCACAGTCGCTGATGGCCGAGGCTCCAGCCTAGCTCCCAGCATAAGAGCCTTGATAGCGGAGACTACAGACGTGTTGGAAAGGATAGGGTCAGCCCCAATCCAACGAAAGGGACTCTCTTGTCTGTTCGCCGGGCAATTGAGACAAATCCTGAAATATGCATCCCGGGCCCCAGATACTACCCAAGCTCTACCGGAATCGAATGGAGAGTTGACCAAGAACGCTTCTATTTATACCGACCTTACTGCAGCCCATATGGCCAACCACCAAGGCACAATTCAAATGCCGGTTGCGGCAACAAGTCTACCTCCGGACTACTTGATATTCTCTACCATGTCGAATGAGAATCAGTTAGATGAAGCTATTCACAGCACTGAGATTGGGCTCAACCCATTCTGGGAGGACTTCCAATTTCAAAGTGCCGACTTGGATTGGATGGATTGGTCAACATTCGGAACGTAAATGTATGAACTTCATGTCTATAATCTGAAATTTCGGTACATCGGTGTTTACGGATTGTGGTGAGGAGCATTCAAATGGTGTTGGTTATACCTGGTTTGAAGGGATTTGAAGGGGCGTTCGGATAGGTCTGATTTCGATATCGTGTATTGTATGCTGGTCTTAGCATACTCGGCTTTTTGAGATAGAGACGGGTCGGGTCACATTCCGTTAGGACCCTTTCTGCAGAAGGTGTTACCTGTCAGCTTACCTAGTAGCTATCTAGGTACGGAAGGTTGCAAGTATATCTCGATAAAAATAGTAGATATCATATATACAACTTCGAGACAAGTTTACTAAAGAGCTTGCCAACATAGCGTTCCACTTTGCCTAGGTAGAATAAGCTTCTAGAACGGTATTTCGAAGAATTATCAATTTTCTGCAGCCTTGAAGCAAGACATTATCTATGCAGCGGGCACATCGTAGTGTCCACCCGATGCAACAAACGCCATCTGTTAAGAATAGCAGGGGTATAAACGTTGGGGCCAAGCCAATATACCATAAGGACCCTGAAATTGTGAGATAGCTAGTTATGAATGATTATTGGTTAGCATCGGCTTCACCCCCTTGCTTCCCATTCCCACACAACCATTCGGAATTTATCATGTGGTAATTTAGTACACAATCCTACCCTTTCTTTTTCTCTTATTTCTCTGGGCATGTAGGTTATCTTGGGTACTTACTTAGTAATAGTAAGAACTCGGTCGCTTGCTATTTTCAGTCTATTAGTTTGCTCGATTTGGGTAAAGGGATGTTCGGTAATAGATCAAGGTCCGCCAAGGAGTACAGCAGGGTATAGTAGGCAGTAGGTAGGGTACAGCAGGGAAGTACAAGCATTATTCCCCCGCAGCAACTCCGCGCTGCTAGCGTTAGTATCTTGATTAGTACCGATGATCATAACGGCTTACTCTCTACCAAGACAAAGACTAACCCCACACCTTTACCTGGGCTTGCTTGGAGTGGATTTGGGATGAACTTTGGACACCCCCAGCTCCCCCTGGCTCTCACTAAAAGAACAGACAGACATATACTAATGTAGTAATCTAACTCCCCCGCAACCTAACTGGATACTTCCCCCCAGGGCTGACCAACTGTTTCTGTCAACACCCCGGTCTTGCTTGTGGTCTTGCTGCTTGCTGCTTGGTATTTAGGTGTTGGATTCGAAGCATTAAATATAGGTGTGTGGTGCTTGGAAACATAGGACTAGACATCCAACTTGTCCTTCCTCCCATTTTTCTTCTTTGCGCCTCGCGACGCGCGACACGAAAGGCAAGGAAAAGTTATACCATGTCGTCTTCAGAGTCCGGCGACGTGCCTAACAAGGCGACGGTAGAGGAATTAGAGAAGGGGAGCGGGAGCGCGGTGCAAGTTCATTCTACCGACAAGCATTTGACGCGTAAGGTCCTATTGAAATTAGATACGAGGTTCTGTCCGCCCATTCCTTTCGCATCCATCTTCATTTTACGCAGTTCAAAAAAGAGAAAAAGAAAATATACACACATTTGTATGTGTATATGGGACGCGACAAATACTGACTGAAATATTAGGATTCTCCCTGTCCTCGCCGTTCTTTTTCTCTGCTCGTTTTTGGACAGGACCAATGTCGGAAATGCAAAGCTTTACGACCTCGAGGTCGATATTGGAATCACAGACCACCAATACGATCAAGGTCTTGCTGTCTTCTATGCGACTTATATCCTCAGCGAAATTCCGAGTAACTTGATCCTTAAGAAGCTTACTCCTCAGATTTGGTTACCATGCCTCACATTTTTCTGGGGTGTTTGCGCCATGTGTCTTGGATTTGTTCAAAACTTTGCGGGCTTCGCTGCTGTCCGTGCACTTCTTGGGTCAGTTCAATCCCTTTGCTTTTTCCTTCTCTTTTGTTTTATTTGAAGAACCAATTGCTGATTAGAACCATACAGTTTGACTGAAGGTGGTCTGCTACCAGGAATTGTACGTGAAATGATCGAGTTATTATCCGAAATATCGTAACTTACAAGTATCACAGGTCCTATACTTGTCAACCATCTACACAAGAGGAGAGCTTGCCTTACGAATCGGTATCTTTTACACAGCTGCCTCTCTTTCGGGCGCATTCGGAGGTGTGTACTCATTCGCGCAATGCATCGTTGCATGGACATGTTCATTAAATCCGACTAACAGTATCATAGGTCTTCTCGCCCGTGGAATAGCTGAGATAGGTTCTCGAGGTGGTCTTAGCAGATGGAGATGGATCTTCGTCATCGAGGGTCTTTTCGTGAGTATCAATCGACCCTATGTTGTGGAATAAGTAACACTGACATGTTTGAAGACTGCTCTAGTTGGAATTGCTGCTTACTTCCTTCTTCCCAACGGTGCTGGTTCCGCTAAGTTCCTTACTCCCGAGGAGCGTCAACATGCCGTCAATCGCCTTCATGAGGATAGAGGCCATGGTGATGGTAACCGTGAAAAGTATGCCTCGTTTTAGTATTATAACAATGGATCATAGGATATCATATTGACGGATTTCTAGGGAATCTACCGAGAGCTTCGCTTGGTCTGAGGTAGGACGTGGTGTCTTTAGTTTGCAGACCTGGTTCACAGCGTGTGCGTACTTTGGCATTCTTAGTGGGCTGTATAGCTTCGGTCTTTTCGTAAGTATAGGCTTTTTTGTTCGCTTTTGGCTTCATACTAATCAATTCTTAGCTCCCGACAATTATTACGGGTTTGGGATACACAGCGGACGAGGCCCAACTGTGGTCTGTCATTCCCTATGCAGTAGCTTCTGTAATCACCGGTACGTGTACATTGAGCTATCATTTGCTCTCGCATTTTAGGGATAGCAACTTACAAAGTCTAGTCGTCACCGCCTTCATCTCCGATCGTTACCGCGTCAGAGGAATCGTCATGCTCGCCTCGCTTCCATTGGCGATCATCGGATATGGTGTCATCGCGTACACCAACAATAACAAAGTCAAGTACGGCATGACCTTCCTCATGGCTACTGGTCTTTACAGTAGTGTGCCTCCCGTTCTTGGATGGCTCTCGAACGTAAGTATCACCATAATAACGCTCCAATTTTGGTCCCTGGTCGAACTGACACAAGTTTGTCCGTAATAATATGGTGGCGCTGACAATGAACAATATAGAATTCTGCTGGTCATTACAAGCGAGCTACGACAAGTGCCCTCCAACTTGCAATCGCAAACTGTGGTGGTTTCGTCGCTGTCTTTATATACCCGAAAGCCCAAGGTCCAGCATACCGCGAGGGTCATACCGTTATTTTGGGGTTACTGTGTGCTGGATGGCTGTTGTAAGTTCCCTAATCGTGGTTGACTGGTGATTAAATCATAATTCGCATGCTAACATCCATTAGGATCCTTTGCAACGTGTTGTACTGCTGGAAGATTAATAGGGATAAGGTAAACGGCAAGTACGACAAGTACCGTGGATATGGCGACGACCGTGATCCTACGTTCAAGTTGGTTCTATAGGTTATTAGTAACTTGAAGATGGAGTCAGGAAGTTTCCATACATTACGAAGGATGGGAACTCGACAAGTGAGAATAGGAGTCCCTCAGTTCCTTGATGAAAATGAATTCAAGTTGGCTTACCTCGAAATCGATATGACAGAAAGGATGGTCATTTCTTCATTCCTTCGTTATGATATTCGAATGAATACCCAGTCGTTTTATGACGCGTTTTATACCAGGATATCTATGAGATTTATGTATAGGATGGAAATGTGAATATTGGTATAGAATTAGGGCGATGAGGTTCTTTGAAAGTTGCGAATATTTCAGGTGGCGACTAGAAAATACGATTTCTCTTGGGATTGAAGGGTTGGTTTCCAGGTTAATGTCTAGCTTCATAATTGAGAATGTACCAGATATTAAGAATCTGGTTACACGATGATGATTTATTAAGAACTCATCCGTATAGATTATGAGCCTCCGAAACAATGATACGATATTATCATGAGCATGTGGTAACGGCATCATAAATATTACCCGAGGGTTTAAGACTAGGACCAATGGATGAGACCCTAGGTACTAAATTAGTGACCCGATACAGTGGACTATGTACCTAGGTATTTTAGATAGCGGATGTTTCTAGTTACAAAGTCGGAGGTTCATGAATAACCGAGTCCATTTTTCCAGGGATCATTACCGCGGCATTCCCCTTGTTAGGTACAGCTAGGGTGATAATTCCGCTGTAATAAAGAAGCTTAGGTACCTGAAATATCCGCCTAAGGTCGCCAAAAGAACAAGTACAATTCAATTATAAGCTTGTGACGTCGGGTTCATCCGTGTTCGCTCCATCTAAGCTGTTGAACGACAACTAACGACAACTATTGCGACAATCGTTGCGACGACATAAATAACACGAATTGACATAATAAGACCCCTCATTTGATTCCTCGGTTTCTCTCACTTTACTCCTAGCAACTAGAGTAAAGATGTCAAAGCTCTCAGAAACAGTCAAGGCACTCATTAATGCCAGCCATTCCAGGCCAGGCTATACTCCCTCATCGTCAAGTGTACAAACCGCATTAACACATTTCGCCAAAGATGCGGCAGAAAAGAAAGTCGGGTTACCGGCTTGGGTGACACTATCTGTAAGTTTTTAGAATATGAACATGAGCATATATCTTTTGATATAGAGAATGAGATGCGAAAAATGAATAAATAATACTAATACCATTCTAGACGGCCGTCTCAGCAACACTAAACTGCCCTGAGGCCATGACCCAAATATTCCACCTAGCCAATTCAACAAACCAACAGCGCACACCTGCCCAAAACGCAGAGCTGATCCGCGAAGTCGGGTTAAAGTGTATCTCCTTCAACGGCATCCCACGAAGCATCAACACCCTCGGCGTATTCCGCAATAGTCTACCATCCGATGTCGGATCCGCATTAAGCACGAAGCCAACCCGGGAACTAACACCGGAGAACCTGGAGCTCCGTAAGCGAGATGGTCTCGCGCTTTGGGATAGCGTGTATATTGGCTTCGAGCGCAAGTTGTTAGATAAACTAGCACAATCGCATCCGGATTTGCCTGTTCACATCCTCAATGGCCATTACTCGAATCTATTATCGAACCCACGTGGTGTCACTGCGCCGGTGAAAGTCGGTCGCGTACTCACGTCGCTTGTTGCTATCGCGTGTTTACGCGCGCAGACTGGTGTTGGGCCTCAGGTTGTTTCACATATCTTTGGATTGCGTAAGGCATATAAAAATGGTGATGCGCATGCTGAAGGTGAGGAATCCGTTGAAGGTGGCCCGTGGCTCGCTACTGAGGATGGAAATATCTGGATACTGGAGAACATTGATAAATTGGTTAATGTTATTACGAGTGGTGAAGGTACTACCTTTGCGCCGGGGATACGACCCAAGTTATAAGATGAGGATGAGAAGGAATCATAGCTCATTGAGCGCTACTTGTCCGTGTGGGTAATTGGTGAAAAATTGGGGTATAAGTCAATTTGTATATAAGAACTCCTAGCTACGGAGCAGCTCTGTCCTATAACCACCTACCTGGTGAACCAAGGTCGGTAAGTGTATCTCACTTCATCATATACGATATAGGCAAATAGATTCCCCTTGGTTCACAATAAACCCGTTAGATTATAACGTTATATTTATACTATTGTGATATATGCTAAGGCTCAAAACCCCCAACTAACTCCATAAGCAGACGCGCTTAATTCTATATACAATGGATATATACTCTCAGCCTGCTTGTGTGGACCATCTATCCAGACTCTTCTTTCATGTCGAATATAAGTACTGACCCATTACTTCATCTAAAATTTCTTCAAATCTTCCGCAACTACGAACTCGGCATCTGTCTTGGCCTTAACAACTTCAAGGTCAATACCTTCAGCGATTTCGGTGAGAGTTAAACCACCATTGACACGGTCGACTTGGAAGACGGCTAAATCGGTGATGATCGTGCTGACAACACCCTTACCGGTAAGTGGTAATTGGCAATCTTGAACGATCTTACTCCGGCCCTTCTTATCGACGTGCTCAGTAGCCACAACGATCTTGGTATGGTCTGGATTCGACACAAGGTCCATAGCACCACCCATACCCTTAAATACGCGTCCAGGGATCATGTAGTTAGCCAAGTCACCCGATGCTGAAACTTGGAAAGCTCCTAGGATTGAGACATCGACGTGACCCCCTCTAATCATGCCGAATGATTCGGCTGAGTCGAACGTCGAAGCGCCCGGAAGCAGTGTGACAGTCTCTTTACCCGCGTTGATCAAATCCGGGTCCGCATCTTGCTCCGTTGCTGGGTACGCGCCCATACCTAAGATGCCATTCTCCGATTGTAACCAGACCTTGGCATCATCGGGTAGATAGGACGCCGCCAAAGTTGGGATTCCTACACCCAAATTCACGTAGAAACCATCATGTAGTTCCTTGGCCGCACGCCGAGCAATACGGTTGCGAGCATCAGGAGTGCGTGGTTTGCCTGAAACCGCGTCTTCTTTTGGTGGCGCCACTTTCAACACCTCGAAATTTTTAGGTGCTGTAGCCGGTACGATGCGATCAACAAATATGCCCGGAAGGTCGACACTGTCGGGGTCAATGGATCCGATCGGCACAATATTCTCGGCTTCAACGATTGCGATACGCGCCGCCTTGGCCATTAGACCAGCGTACGTTTTTGTCGTGTATCTGAAAGCGTAACGTATTAGTATCGCGTATCAATTAATTGAATTGGCAAGAGCAAATAATAGAGACTAAACTTACTTGAATACACAATTGCCGGCTTCGTCTACCTTCCACGCTCGTAGAATAGCGACGTCGCCGGGGAGCGCCGTTTCCATGATGTAGGATTTGCCATTAAAAACTCTTGTCTCTTTCGGCTTTCCCTTCTCAAGGACAGCTTCGGGTGTAAACCTGACAGGAATCTCGCCAGTCTCGACAAATGTCTTTCCACCGGTCGCGGTATAGAAAGCTGGAATGCCGGCACCAGCTGCCCTTAACTTTTCTGCTAGTGTACCTTGAGGACATAACTCGACCGCTATCTTGCCCGTCAAATATTGCTTCTCGAGCTCTTTATTCGATCCTAGGTACGACAGAATGATGCGACCTAATCGTCCGTCTCTCGTAAGTAGGGCTAAACCGTGATCACCGGAACCGGCATTATTCGAGACGGCCGTTAGATCCTTGAGACCTTTCTTGTGGATGGCTTGTATGAGGGTTTCTACGTGCGTGGTTTTCCAGTTAGCTAGGGTCTTGTATAACTCGGACGTAAGGATTACCCCTCGCTTGAGAGTGGCTTGCGGAATCGGATAGGTTTATTAAGCTAATGTTTTTTGTTTCACATACCAGCAACACCACACAATCCAAATCCAGCGCTTAAAACTACGTCGCCATCTTTCAGGTCGGCAATAGCTTCGTCCGCGGATTTGAAAACTTTGGAACCGCCTCGCGTCGCCTTGGTTGGAGCCTCGGTTGAATAATATCGGCACGACCGTCGAGAGTATGTCTTGAATCTAGGGCTGGAAGCAATCGCAATGGTAGCGGCATTATATTGCCGTCGCATACTAGGAGCTGCCCATTGATATGAAAGTTGGACGGTCGCCCGTAGAGCCACATTCCGTGGCCGTGCCATCTTAAAAGAAGCGAACAGAGGAGAGAGGGGTTGGAGGGGTAGGTAAGGGAACTGTTCAAAATTAGAGGTCAAAGTGTCATTTGTGTTGGCGCATAGAAGTATCGTTTATGACTGAGTCTTTTCCTTTCTTTCTCTCGGTCTATTTTAGGAAGTATGCCATATTTATGAGTTGATCAAATGATTGATCGACTGGTTAATTGGGCTTGTACTTATTTTTATCATGACGAAATAGGCGTTCGCCGAGGTACGATTTCGGTGCTTCGTGGCTAATTGCTCTGGAACCTTTTCGGTCTTTGATTTATGTCCGTGATGATCATCTATCTCCCTTCTTTTCTTTCCGGGGAGTCGGGTAAGTAACGCGCGAGATTTTAGTTTGCGGCTAACTACATAGTGTATGAAACCGTGAACATTGAAGCAGGGCTAATTTAGTTGCATGATTTGAACATCCCGGCTTACTTACCGAGAAGACGTCGCGAATGAAGATATGATGTTGTACTGGGAAGAAATGGAGCTAGTGTGGGCTCTAGGCTTAAGGTCTTTACTCTGAAACACTGTAGTGGGTTGTACCTGCTAACTGGTCGGTATGCAGCTGTAAACTCAGCATTCAAAGAAGCCGCTAGTTACTTCACGTCCCTAAGTTGGTGACGTCAGTGGTTTATGTTTTAGAAAATTGATATCACTACCTAAATACTATAACTATACTAACAACTATCACCGCTCCCTCAGCACCAAGTCCTATGGCTCCCAATTAAAAGAGGACTCGATAGAGAAAAACAAAACAGCAAAACCGGGGGTACTAAGAGTCTATGGAACCATACCTAGGTATCCAGTCCATGTACAACTTCAAACAAACACCCTTTCAATGCGGCAAATAATCCAAAGAAGCCACACGCAAAGTTGATATGGCTCAAGAAACGAGAAAGAGAGAAAAACAAGTGTACCTGGTATACCGCCCTCTAATTAACGCCCAACGCTCTCTACGCGAATGCCTAGCTTCGTCATTTCATTCACATCGATAATGCCCTTGCCATCGAATAACCACTTGGGCTGCTTCATGTGCAAGGCAATCAAGTTCCAATCTAATTTCTCCTTTGGTCGATCCTCGTTCGAATTGCCCGCCGTGGAATATCCGCTGGACTCGATGAGATGGCAATCGGGACAATCGTCCTCGCATGCAGGCTCCAGCCTATATCGGTTTAGAGGATCCTCATTAATTTTTTCGTCCTTCTTCAAAATAGAAACACGGACTAGGTGCTTATGAACAGCTAGAACTTCCGACTCCGATGCTGCGGGCTTTTGATCTTGGTATGGGCGAGGATCAGAGGGGAACGTAACTCGAGAAGTAGCACTAGAAGCTTTGGTTGGGGTTGGGGAATTTCGGAATTCTTCAAACTCGGTCGTTATGAGGATGGCGTGAGCAGCTAAACAAGCCGCGTAGGGACTCGAATAAATCTCAATCGGCCCTCCGTCTTCGCGGAGCGCAGATTGGCCCTTGAGTAATTCTTGAATCTCATTCTTGACTACTACTGGATTGCAGCAGGGATCGAATATCGCAATCTCCTTAGGACCCTCCTCGAGAAGTGTCTTAATAATCTCGAGCGCGGGCGATTCCCTGGTGTCGGAGGTGTTGGCCTTGAATGCGTAGCCGAGAAGGGTGATCTTCTTTCCCACGAGTGTGTTGTTAAGGCAGCTGATAACTCGTCGAGAAAAGCGGTCTCGTTGATACTCGTTCATCTTGACCACCTGTCGCCAATATTCGCCCACTTCAGGTAGACCGAGCGACTCGGCCAAATACACCAAGCTAAGGATGTCCTTCTTGAAGCAACTTCCGCCGAAACCGATACCTGCCTTCAGAAACTTGTCGCCAATGCGGGGGTCGAATCCAATAGATGTTGCTATCTCGTCGACGTCTGCGCCCGTCTTTTCGCAAATCGCGGATATCGAATTGATGCTGCTAATGCGCTGCGCAAGCATAGAGTTTGCTACAAGCTTTGATAGCTCTGATGAGTAAACGTTGGTCGTAATGATGCGAGATCGAGGAACCCATGCCGCATAGACATTCGCTAGAGACTCCGCAGCGCGAAGGCCAGCAGCCGACTTAGAAGATCCGATAAGCACGCGATCAGGATGCATTAAATCCTTCATTGCCGTGCCTGCAGCTAGGAATTCCGGATTGGAGAGAACCTCGAAGTGAACACCAGGTCGGTGGACGGCCAACTGTCATAACTGTTAGCCAAACCAACCTTTTTTTCTTTGTTCCCCTCAGCCTAATGGATAATAGGGATAGTTGAGCTTACAGTTTTCAGAACGAGGTCAACTGTTCTACAGGGGACAGTCGACTTTTCCACAATGATGGCTCCCGGTCGAGCGTATCGCGCAACCTCGCTAGTGACCCCCTCAAATGCCGTCATATCAGTGGCACTTCCCGCTCCCGCGCCTTTTGACTTGGTCGGAGTGTTCACCGCAATAAGAACAATATCCGCCTCCTCGATACATTTCGCGACCTCGGTAGAAAAGAATAAATTCGGATCTCTGGCTGCTACGGGTGTCCAGTTGTTGTAGCGAATATTGTTAGAATCATGGTAAGAACGCAAACGAGGGAGACTGCCATCCGGGGCGGTGGGTTCGTTGATGAAGAAACATCTCCTAGATCCATCACGGGCGATGCGAACAATATCGCCCAGACCTGGTTCATAGATGGGCAGATGCTTTGAGTTCCACCTCCTAATTCGCTTGTCATTCTTGTCAACAACAGTCACTCGTAACTTTGGGTTTTGATATGCGATAACCGCTGCCGTTGGGCCACCTAGATGATGTTTTAGCCTTAAAGTACGAAATAAGAAATGGGCGAGATGAGATTGGCGGGCTACGCGCTAGGTGAGTTATTTGCGAAGAGGGAGTAACTAACCAACATATCCAGCACCCACGCAGCAGATATTCCGAATAGGTCGCGCCGTTAATTCCTCAGCAGACGTCTCTAATTGTGGTACATCCGGCGGCATTTCCGCAGCGAGCATCGGACTAGATGATGAACTCTCGTCCGGAGTAGTAGGCGCGGTTGAAGCGCCATCCGCAGTATAAACCATGCCCTCCTCGCCCTCTGACCCCGGAAAAGCGCCCATGGCAGCCATTTGACTTTTTCTTGAGAATAATAATCCAGCGATGCCTCCCTTGGAAAAGAGTAGCTCTTATAGTCAAGGCAACTACTAAAGAGACAAGGCTCTCCCTCTTCTCTTTCGCTTTTGAGCTCTCTAGCTTAAGCACGGCGATTAGGCGAAAGCGTGAGATATGAAGAAATTAATGCGATGGCAACGCCTCTTGAGTATTTCTCAAGAGGTAGGAGTATGAGTAAGTTTCGCAGCTGGTGAGATGTGCGATTATGTATGCCTGCCGTGTAAGACAAGCTTGGGAGGGATGGAAGGCAGACAAGTAATTAAGTAGTATGGGGAGCGTGACCGCTTACTCAGTAAGTCAATGGGTATCGTGAGCAAGAAGAAAGATGGGAAGTAGAGCTGAGAAAAGTAGTAGCAGGTGAGCTGAAATGGTTTATAAAGTCTTGCCTGGATGAATGGGAGGATGGGATTTAATAGTAGGGGTCCTTCTACATATGTAGCATATGTAGATAAGGACCCGGGTCAAGCGCAACAACATTAGGAACTTTAAGTACCACTCAGACGCCACTTGACCTCAAAAGGTTCAATAAAAAATAATACACATGCAGCTTCAAGTAGCTTAGCCTCCTAGAACACTAGAACAGAAGACAAGGTATATTTACTTCCTAGCTTGGTATAAAAGATGTACGATCGCGTTAAGCTTCTACCGGACCCCTTGCTACATACGCAGGTGGCGGATCTAGACGAGAGAAGTTTGGAGCCAGTGCTCTGTCTAACTTTGTACCACGAGCCATCATGGTGTAAGGTTTGATGTGGACGGATGTGGATGGATATGGATGGGATATGAATTGGGGGGGAGGGGTGTAAGGGGAGGGGTGAACATCCATCTGAATGTTCATCTGAGATAGGAAATGCATACATGTATCTACCTGCATTGTAGAGCCAGGTATGTACATGCTTCCTACCTGGTAGGTTATGTAGGTATGTAGGTAAGGTATAGCTGAGAGGAGGCTACATGCCTACATGTAGGTAGACTACGTACCATAGGAACATTCAATAGACGGTACGACCACTGTGTCGTTAGTCTATTCTATCTTGATGGCGATAATGGCTATTGCGGCGGCCGTGCTGTAATTGTATTATTTGGAAGAGCAAACTTGCATATCCATCCAAGGGAGTCTGTGGGCAGGGTATCATTAAGATTTGGACGGCAGTCTATTAAACTTACACATATGTAAGGTACCTGCTTTTCTAACCCACTACAGGTGGGAAGACAGGTGGGAAGAGATGTGGGAAATGGCGGGGAGATTTCCTAGAATCTTGAATGAAGACCAAAAAAGGGTATCGTGGCTTGACACCACCATTCATACTTGAAGTAAGTAAACGAAACGTGGGGGGTTACTTAAAATCTGAATAGATCTTATGGACATACATAGTATGAGATTAATAAATACGGCTCATGCCGATGAAGGATGGTTAGAGGGTTACTTGCCTTGGAAGATGAGATAGGATAGGTTATATGCGTCAAATATTGCCCGCTCGGCAGAATTCCATGTATACCTAATATAAACACGCCTCCTCGTACATTGATATATGCCTACCAATAAACAACAGTCATAGTAACATGTACCACCGTGTTCGTACGGTATCGTAGGTACCTACCCGCATCTCAGTTACCTGGCTGACTTGCCAGTGAGGATGGATATAATAGAACGTATGACTTGACTGAATCTTTACTCTCCTCCGATATCGTAATGTCAAAAAGATCAGGGGAAGTAAAAAGAAGTGGGAAAAAACGGGAAGACTAGAAAGAAGATTCTTCTAGTTACCATGATTTAGGAATTACCGAATCATAGATAGGTAGCCAACAGATAAGCGTACCAAGCACACGAGGGTCTAACCGGGGATGCTAATTCGTAAATGGGAATGGATAAAAAATAATAAAAAAATAGGCGTGGGACAAATCTAGTCAACCTCAGATAATAACAAAGGGTGCATGTGACATTTTATTGTCCGTTCTTTTCTGTTTTGTAAAGGCTAAAGCCTTGTCCTCGTCCCTCCTCGTCCCCCCTGTCCCCTTGCAAATCGCATCTTAGATGAACCCAATCGCCTAAGCACGATATCAGTGCTATACTTTTGTCAGAGTGCTAAGGGTGTTAAGGGTGGTAGGAATGGTAGGGATCTTGTTGGACCCCGGATTCTCGTGCAGCTTGACAAGTATGTTTAATGGGTTTAATTGGGATCTGGAGTGTTCTTGTTGAGAAAATGTGCCGTAAACAAGACTTATGATTGGTGCGCTGTACTTTTCGCGTGTGCTACTATTAGAGCTTATCATTGGTTTATTTGGGTCGACTGCACTGACTGCACGGGTACATCACTTAGGTACCTAGCACCTAAGCTTAGAAGCTTCAAGGTACCTAGACGGAAAGCCTAAAAGAGTAATCAGACGAATAAGTTAAGTTTAGGTGCCTACCTAGGTAGTTCGTGAGCTTAACTTTGCCCCTCATTGCCGATAAAGATTCCGTTCAACAATATCACCAAAATCATTAAATGCCGGATCCAAAACTGTGATACTAATAATGAATAAGCCGTTAAACTAAAAGAGAGAAAAATATTGTCCCAATATGGCCAAGCACCATATCTTTCCTAGGATTATAAGTTCATTAGTTGCGTGACTAAACCTATTCGTAATTTATGGTCTTGTGCCTTTCCTTGGTGCTAGAAGATGACCTTTAAATCCATCCTATCGCGTGAACCATCTACACGAGACTATTCATGACTAACTTCAACGACAATGTTCTAAGACTTTTTGATACCTATTATACTTGCGACTATGAAACTTACAAAGAAGTACGTGTGTTTACCTGAGCTGAGTTATTTGGAAATATTGAATTTTACACACCTCAGTTTGACACCCGTATAAATCACCCACCAGGTCGACTCCTGTTGGTATCACGGGTATATTTAACCAACTCTCGATTCTGTCAGCCGCTCTCACTGATAGACCAACCAATATAGGTCATCTAGAGTTACATATCTAGATTTATACACACCCTCTTGGTTATATCGTATTTTGTTGCCTTTTTCCTTTACACCGCCTTTATTTCTACATATTAGGCTGCGTTTTGTCGTAGGAATTCCTACCTAAATCGACACAAATCCGCATTCCAATCACGATACTATCCTACAAGAGCCTCATCCTTAATCCGACTCTTAGCTAGGTAGGTATATCTCATTACCTAGGAAAAATCATATACTGATAAATTTTAGGGATAGCATTCACGAAGGCGACAACGTATCACGTTGGTGTGGAGGTGCTGGGTTGTACAACGATCCTTGGTACCACAATAAGGCCACATACCTACCCTACGAATCCCACCTATTTAGACACCTAAGTGGACAGTCGCTATGAGTACCGAACCTCATGATCTGGACCTCTTCCCGGAAGGTTTACGCGGAAAGCGTATCCTTCTATGTACTGAAAGCCTCGGTCCCGTAAATGGCGTTTCACGTACGACCAAGATGTTGGTAGATCAGTTACGATCTAATGGAGCACTTGTCTCGGTAGTGGCGCCGTACAATCATACCAAAGTCAACACTTTCAATCCGATTCGCTCTTCAAGGAATGCAGACCCTTTATTTCACGAGGAAGTCCGACTAACAGGGTACCCTCTACCATTCAACCCCGAGCTTTCGGTGGCATATCCCGTACGGCTTTCCGAATTATATAGGCGGACCTTCGGAGCGCCACCGGACCTCATTTACTTGGCTAGTCCCGCATCCCTAGGATTCCAAGTTATGCTTCAGTTACGTCAGCATAGCAAGGAGTTCCAAGTGCCTGTCATCTGCAATTTTCAGACTGACTTGGCAGGGTATTGCTCTCTTTTATTCCCTTGGCCCCTAGGGGATATCGCGAATCGAGTTTTTGGATATGTGCAGGGTTACCTCTTCCGACACACATCGGTGAAGACCGTCTTTTACCCTAGTACATTCGTCAAGTCATACCTAACTCAAGTCGCAAACGTTCCGAGCGATAAGATGGAGGTGTTGAGGCGAGGTGTCGACACGGAGGGCTTCAACCCGGCTAAGCGAAGCGAAGAATTACGAGAACAGTGGGCACCAAATGGTGAGCCTATTTTATTCACCTGTTCGCGATTAGCGGGTGAGAAGGGTTTCGGGTTTCTTGCAGAGGCAGCTATAGAGCTTGATAAGAGAGGGATGGAGTTCAAGCTCGTTGTTGTTGGCGGGAACCGAAACCCCATTGTTGAACGAGAAGTAAAGGAAATGTTTGGACCACTAGAGGAAAAAGGAAAGGTCATCTTTGCTGGATTTAAAGTGGGAGAGGATTTAATGACGCATTACGCTTCGGCTGATATCTTTCTGCACTGCTCCATTACCGAGACATTCGGGTTGGTGGTTTTAGAGGCAATGGCCAGTGGTGTGCCAGTAATTGCACGAGACGAAGGCGGACCCAGCGACATCATAGAGCACGGCAAGACTGGATTTCTTGTACGACCTAACGATCTTTCCGGCTTCGTGGAGAAAGTACTTAAGCTTGGCCGCGACACGGTACTTCGCAAGGAATTTTCCGCGGCAGCTCGCTCATTTGCTTGCGAGGCTACGTGGGAAAGGATAAGTAACAAAGCAGCCTGGCAGATGTTCGACACGATTGAGCAATTCGAAAAGAACCAGGTTGCTAGCACTTCAACGACGCGGATCCCTTTTATGGGGTGGCTGCTCCTAAGTGCCCCGGTGCAACAATTTCTTCTTTGGAAGGTGACTAAAGCGAAACTGGCTTTTGCACTTTCAATTATTATCAGCTTTTGGGCCGTGGTGGGGAGCTACCTCGTTTTCGCAGACGTCGGACATTTGGTTAAGACTCATGTTCCCCGGGCCTATGCTTTGACCAAGTCCATAAGTCGAAAGTAGGGACAGCAAGAGTTGCAGTCATCTAGGGAATGAGCGGGGTCTTGCTTGTCTCTTTGGCGAGATCACCTATAATCACCACAATTCTCTTTTTACTAATGTTTCAATCTTTTGCTTTTTATTATACCCAATTTGATTCCTTTATCTGATGGGTTGTCGATCAATGGCTATATTGGTGTTGCTGGTACAAAAACGATACTCCGAATGTTCGTCACACAGCATAGCGCAGGGCAGTTCAGTAGGACATTATGGCGTGGAGCTGATGAAGAAGACACCTTGGCTAGGGAGACCTGGATGGGGTTTTAAGTGAAAGTGCCATTAGTACCTAGATATGTTAAGCGTTATGTAGGTAGATAGGATCTATCCAAATACAACACGTAAGACATCTTGTGTATTAGCGACCTGAGCAAATTCCTCGTTCAGACTTGCGAGGTTTACTTTGTGCACAATCTCGGCGTCGAAATCTCCTTTTGAAAAAGTGGCGCAAGCGTCTCTAACAAGAATGATATCCCCTTCGTCGAGTTCACCGGTCGGGGTTTTCACCGATACAACCCTTAGGTTGCTCGCCATTCGTGTAGTAGTACTAACGCAGTGATCCGTGGTCAAACCGAGAATGATAAGTTGCCTGATATTTTGGTCCTTGAGGTAATTCTCTAGATTGGTACCGATGAAGGACGAATTGACATTCTTGACGAAGATTGGCTCGCCGGGGTTCGGAGTTGCGAACGGTTGTGGTTGCACGGCGTCGACAATTTTACCATCTATCTCGATCTGGGCGCCTGGGTACAGCATTGAATCTGGATAGATACTGTGATGATGGACATGACAAATGACTACCGTGTTTTTACCCTGCTTCTCGTTGTGCTCTCTCGCTGTTTTTAGCAGTAAGGCAATACTATCTTCGCATTCCGGTGTACTACGACTTGCTCCCCAATGTGTGGGATGTCGAAAACCATTTTGGACGTCGATAATAACCAAAGCTGTCTTCGCGGTGTTGGCGGACTTCATTTTGGAAAATGGTTGTCAATTGGTTATACAAAATTGATCCAATGAATATGAATAGTAAACGCTACGTCGATTAACCTACGAGATGTTGACATCTTATAGCAGCCATATAATTGGAGTGAGTCATGAAAATATTGGAATGATTAATAATGTATTCAGGTTGAAAATGGATGTCCCTTTTCGCCATTAGGTATCTTTATGGCAGCACGGTATACAAATGAGTACCTGCCTACATAAGGTAGGGTTTGCATGAATGAGGGGGCTGAACGATGAATTTGAGAAGTCTTCATTATGTAATTAGTAGCTCTAGTGTAGGTAATTGTACAAAACTTACAGCTGTAATTGAAGCGGAACATATCTGTGAAAAACTACGTACTACGTACATGTACCTATATATTTGAATTGGAAGGCGATACGATGTCTTAGAAATACGACCTATGAGAATGAAAGCGGTTGATGATAATATATAATAGGTTCAATAAAACGGTCAATTATGGACCCTAGCTGGAATTCTTCAGCGGTGCTTGGCCTGTCAGGGACTTGTAACACAATTAACAGGGGAATATTGGGGGTTGTTTTCAAGCCTCAAGGCCGAATCAACAGGGTTGACAAGGGGCCTTTCCTTAGAACCAATAAGATGGCTCGTATATTAGTACTGAGGTATCATGACCCAGTAAATTTAATTCGGGCAAAGATACGATTGGTTAAAAATTAATTAGTCATACCACGTTAGTACATTTTCATTCGCATTTCGTCTCATTAGCGCCCTGACTCCCGAAATCTTTCCTCTCGAAACCTTCTCCTTCTTCAGCAACGTCGCATCGTTGAGAAGATCTGACAAATGTCAGAACGATCAAAGCGTCAGAGCCAACACATTACCCTGTCTGTCTATGCCGCGACCCGTTGTACGACTACCTAATACTGGTGTACGAAGTATTAACGTACTTAGGTATACATTAGGCATACCCTAGGTACTGGTTATATAGAGAAGTACCATATTGTCGCGCTTGAAATGGGCTTGCTTACAAAATAATCAGGGCCAACCAACTCCGTATTGTCGTGCTGCCCAGTTCCCGCCGTCTTCGCTTCGGACTCCGTGGTCGCGTTCGTTTCTCGAATTTCTAGCTAAGCCTCTTCAAAGTACTAGAATATTTTAGAATGAGAGAGAGAAGGCAGCCCTCGACTCCTCGTTCCATTATCTGTATCATAACCATGAATCTCGTTGTCGCAGATGTTGTATGACAGCATAATATAGCCTACAAGGGGTTACGAGGTCTTCGTTTTCTATGTTCTAGGTCTTTAGACCCTAGCTCATTTGCTGGGTTGTCTCATTCGACCACACCTAGATCTCCGTCTTGATCTGTCTAAGCCGCCAACTAGCATCGGTTAACGACCCACCGTCATACCATTCGTTGGTCTTGGGGGGTTGTCTTCGTGTGGACCCCATGTCTCATAGTCTTCGTTCTAAGATATCGAGCTGATATCCATCTTTCACTTCCTTTTCTCTTCTTTTTTTCCCTACTATCCATAACTATCTCTTAATCGAAACAAAACATAGCCACCTTTCCCTTCTAGTGGGCAGGTCCCTTTTACTCTCTTTTCTTGCTAGATCTCTGTCCCGATCGTCGCTATTCGAATTTTTGAGTTCCTCGCTCACAGGAAAATCCAAAATCCACGACAGTGCTACAAGAGGGGCAGGTTCCATACGTTCTTTACCGCTATAGTATACCCTTCGACCGCCGGCCGGCTAATTCACGTTGAAATTATATTTATTCAAATACTTAATTAAGAGGAAGAAGTCTTGTCAACATGGCTTGGAGAAACGTTGTTCTAGCATCTTTGTTTGCCTCATCGGCTCTCGCTAGTGTCGAACACGCTATGGGAGGTATGTTCGAACCGCGTGCGACGAGATTGGAAACGAGATTCGACGAACGAGATGGCGATGCAATAGAGCGACGGCAGCAGACTTCGACGACAGCGGATACGAATATGACACAATGGAACACAGACACTTCAGCAGCTTGCATGTCAGCACTATCTCAACTTACCGCTGCGTCCAATCCCTCAGGCACAGCGGTATGCTATAACTTATTCAGTCTTGACCAAAACGCCGGTACATTCATGGCAGATTTACGGCTCTTCCAATTATCAACACCTTTTGGGGACTTTGAAGGCATTCCTCCACAAGATATCTCGGTCGGACTTCAATACAATGGGGCTTCAGTTTCTCCAGTCAGTCAAGGGAATCAAACTGAGGCTCCTCCAACCAAGCGACAGAATTCGTCGCCTACTCCTCTCCAGACATATATGTTTGTGGGTCAAATAGATAAGGCTCAGATGGCCCAACCCATGACAATGTAAGCTCTTGTCCTCCAATGCCTCTTGATTCTGTCTGTCTTTTTCTCTTCGGGCCAACACGGGTGCTTACAATTTGGTAGGGGTGTATTGGAGGCTTTGGTTATGCCCACTGTCACGCTCACAGGGAAAAACCTAGCCGGTCAGCAAGTTAGTACGAACGTCTCTTCAAATGAGGCTGCCTTTGTCAATGGCATCTTTTCGGATCAAGTTGTCATGTCGGACTTTTCACTTGCTTCATTGGCAGTCGACGATATGACGAACCAATTACACAACGGCACAGTCGCTTTCGTATTACCCGGAGTTAATATTCTAATATTCCCGGTTGGCCTTGTCCTTGTTGGTATTTGGTTAGTAATTGGTCTTGGTTTCTATGGATTTGGTACCTACGAGCGATACAACTACCGAGATCAATACAGGAGTAGAAAGGCAAGGACTGACGGCAAACCCGCTTATTCGAGAATATGATCGATCAACTTCATATTCATTGGTGTGTGATTTGATACATGGTGTTTGGTGGATGCCGTCGACTGGTGCGGATTAATGTTTCTATGACGGATTGGAGGTGATTTTGGGTGGTGTGCTTTAGACTATAAACCTTCAAGCTTGTTGATTATTATCTGTTTTGATACTTGTCTATTTTACCACGGGTAGATGAGCCCATCAATATTATATATAGCCATTTTTGTGAAAGTGCCATGTTAAAAGCTGCTCTAATCGATATGACGTATTGAACAACCTAGTGGTGATACCTGCAATCCTACTGTAGGAAGGTGCGATGACTAATTGGAGCTTCGAATAAATTTCTACTGTCTCGGGCTGCAACTTTAATCCTAATACAACATCATTTACCCCCCAACAGTACCTGTAAGTTCAGATTTATACTTAATCTTACATCTATATCTGAAGCCCCTTCACATCAAAATGCCAGCATCATAAGGCACTCGTTAAATCTGGGAAGTATTCCATGACCCTAAAAGAACGACTAATATAACAAGAAGTATCTACTTAAAAACCTGCGTTCCTATATATGTATCCTGGATATTTACTCTACTTAAATCCTTATATCACTCACTTGAAGATCGGCCCGTCTGGCCTTCGCACTAATGTCCCCATGATTTCTTCTAGTTCATCCAACAGGCCTGTCGCTACCCCTATCCAATCCTGGAATGTGACTATTTCCAGCGTCATATTGTCCCCATCGACGAAGGCCTGTACCTTCCACTCTCTCAGTGGCTCTAGATGCGGATATACAGTCTCGAGGCGGCAGTCTATGGCTCCAAGCTCTCCCCCCAGCTTCAAATTCTCGACGTGACTCACATCCTGATGTACCACCGAGTCAAACCAGTCGATACCCTCGGGCCAACCCACGTCGCAGTCGCGTGCTATTTCAGCGAGTCCCATACATTCATGCTCCGCGCTCGCGATATGCTGATGCTGTACATGTCGAAGCAGGTCTATAACCCGCCATCCTTCCTCGAATCGTATGCGCACAGGAACATACTGCCATGTCGGTCCCATGACAGCATCAGCGTGCGCGAAGTCGATATTCCGACCGCTAACCACTTCGCCGAATACGACATCCCGTAGCTTGAGGCGCCTCGCGAGACACAGAGCCCATGCCGCGGTAGGCAGCGTAGCGACCGTTATATCCTTAAGCCGTGCAGATATATCAATTGTTCGGGTGACTGCAGCAGGGGTCTTTGAACTCAGAGGTAGATTAGGTCGCAGAATCGTGAGAGAGCTATCCTTCAATAAGTCTCGCCAGTAAGGAATGCTCTGCGGAATACCTTTCCCGACGACGTGATATACGAAAGACGAGAATGGGATGGAATTTAAAGCGGGCTTGCCGTCGTACAAGGATGCTAGCTGGTGTATGAGGCCGGGGAGACAGACCTCATCATATTGTGCGTGGGAGATGCGTAAGATGAGACAACTCTTGGTTCCCTCTCCTCGGACAAATACGAACTTCACGAAAGCTGAACCTAAAGGCATTTTAGTCTGGACGTCAACATCACATAATTTGTGAGCGAACGAGTCTAAATCCCCTTCGATTTCGTATTTTTCGATTGCCACTTCAAGCTTTTCGAGGACAACGCCGAGGCACTGCCCACTGCTCTCTACGAAAACCGTGCGCAAAATTTCGTTCTGGGCTACAAGTTCCTGGCAGCTTCCGAGGAGGCGCTCTTCGTCGACATGCCCGTCAAAGTGGAATAATTCGTATCGTGCAGAGTATCGAGGGAGCTGGATTGTACCCTTGACCGCGACCTGTTGCAATGGCCTGGCTGGTATGATATCTTTAATATTATGATCTTTCTGGGCGATATGTGGTCGAACAGCATCTGCGATAAATGTTTCCACACCTGGAACGTTGAGTAAGGAAAACGGGGATGAAATCAGTTCGTTCGACTTGACCCCCGCTCGCCTCCCTTCTCTGAGTACCTTCGCCATATCGTACGATGTTCTGTGCTTAAAAATCTCAGGTACTGTCAACTCCAAGCCCTTGGATCGAAGCTCAGATACTAGTTTCATGGCTCCGATTGAGTCGCCTCCGAGTTGGAAAAAGCTATCGTTTAATCCAATTTCGTCTTCATCAATTGCCAAGATTCTACTCCAAGCTTGCAATAGACTCTTTTGCTTAGCCGAAGTTGCCGATACACGCTTTTGTTGTGAACTGGCGGTTAATGTTTTGGTGGAATTTGTCCGTTCAATGAAAGATATGGAATAATTTGCGTCATATTTTGCGAGCTTTTGAGTTCTGTATATTTGACCATTGTGACCCTCATTTGCCCACTTGGAAGATGGTATTAATTCCAAGTCGGGATTTCCAGAGCATCGCACAAGTAGCTCACCCACCGCGCCAGGAGGGAGCAATCGTTCAATGTCAGTCGGATCAACAATCCATGTCTCAGATACTTCACAATCAGCCGATACTAAAGCAGTGACAGCAAAGCTTCTTGGGCCGAGTCGACTTAAGCGAGTGAGCTCAGACATATCTGTCTCAGTTAGGAACGACTGAAGTTGACCGCATTTGGCACTGGGGTTTTCAATAAATTGCTGCGTTATCTGACCAAGCTGGCGGAGCATTCTTTCCATCTGCGGGCTTGCGACCGTCCTAGAGTCAAAACTCGCCATGATTAAAAAGCCCTGTGGATCCAAGGAACATACCAACATCAGGGCGTAAGTATTGAATTTGAGTGCTTCCTGCGCTGCTTCTGCATCACCTGCTGGTACAAAGCCATCTGCTAATTGTTTATCGCCAGAACTATTAGTATCCGCATCGGTGCTAGGATGTAACACAAGACCAGTTCTCAGTTCGCAAGCTTCTCGAGCATCCGGACTTAGGCGTCTTATGTGTTGCAGACCAAAATGTTCATGGGCAATCCCAGCAACTGATTGGTCGTGGATATCTTGCAAGTATTCCTTGACAGAAGCTTCAGGGTTGACAGCTATTCGGATTGGTATCGTCGCGATCATAGGCCCTTCTATCTGTTCAACTCCTGGAATCGGGGCATTACGGCCGGTAAGTGTCTCCCCAAATATTACATCATTCGATGCTGTGTATGTCGCGACTAATAAGGCCCAAGCACCACGAATTATTGTGGCAATTGTGTTACCGCTGGTAGGTTTTTCGGTGTGTACATAGTGTTCTAAAAGGGAGTCGGCTTGTTGCTGATAACCTGAATAGGGAAGAGAGGGGAATTGTTCGCCATCGGCACCATCTAGCCGTTCTCGCCAATATGACTCCGAATCTTTGCGGTTCATGTTGTTTAGATAGCTGATGAAGTGCTTGAACTCGGCTGGTCTTTCGGTTGGTAAGTTGTCAAATGCTCGATTGACCCGTTCAACTACGAGAGGCATTGACCACCCATCATAGAGAGCGTGATGCATTGTCAAGACGAAATGCGACCTTCCCGTTGATTTTTCATTGGTTATTACACCATATCTAACTAAAGGTTTGCCAAGTTGGACAGGGTCGCTCCGATCTTGAACCAAATACTCGTCAAGACTTTGACCGGAAAGATGCTTGCGGTTAAAATCATCTTTAACAACTACTTGCATCAATCCATAACCGGAAACTTGGACAATTCTTGTTCGAAGGATTGCACAATCCATGGATGCCTTCTCGAAAGCCTTTGCAAGATTCTGCGCTGTTGTTTCATTTGCAAGCTCGACTACACGTTGTGCGACATAGGCTTCGCTGATCTTAGCAGACAGAGCCATAAGTCCCTCTTGTAGAGGCGTGCAGGGATATATGTCTTCGATTCTTAAAGGATCAATATCGCAGAGAGCAGCACAATCTTGTCGAGCGGATTCTTCGGACCAGGCTTCACTAAGTAGAGAGAACGGCGGAATCCCAACGCTAACTTCACTAAATCCAGGTTTCGCGATGAGGGCCATATCCGAGAGCACTGGGTTAGCGAAAATGCCAGCGACGGTGAGCGCGATACCTTGAGTCCGTGCATGAGCTACAAGCTTCATTGCGCGAAGCGAGTCACCTCCTATGTTGAAGAAATTATCATGAGCACCAATTTCGGTGTCCTGGCCAAGGACTTGGTTCCATAACTGAGCGAGTTTCTTTTCCGCATCGGTTGAGAGTTCCTTTCTGGGTACGGTCGCCGATGCGAAACCAGCGATATCTTTTCTACTTAGTGAGTGTCCTAGCTCTCGAAGGCGCTTGCGATCTGTCTTCGCTGATACGAGCAAAGGCATGACTTCTAATGGAATATATGCTGCTGGGACCATATATATCGGTAAATTTTCCGAAAGTGCCGTGTTCATATCCTTGAGAGATTCTAGGACCTGTGGAGATAATGACCCGAGGAGAGTGTCTATTTCTGATACAAGTCCTGCGCGTTCCGCGATGAATGCGACTAGTGTTGGCTCTCCAGCAGGTCCACCAGGTCTGATAACTTCAGCAACAACCCGAGTCCCCGGTGGTAATTTATCTCGCATGTTGTACTCGATTTCTGCTAATTCTATGCGTTGGCCGCGTAGCTTTACTTGTTGGTCGCCTCGACCGACAAAGATAATTGTTCCGTCTGAATCGTATCGTACAAGATCTCCGGTTTTATACAGTCGTCCTCTGCGACCTTCGTTCTGCGGGCTTCCAGCAAGAAGCCATTTCGGATCATCGATGAACGATATAGCTGTCCTTTCAGGATCATTTAAATACCCAGGTCCCACTATAGGGCCTTCAACTAGAAGTTCACCCACTGAACCCACAGGCATCAATCGGTGATGATTAGAAGGGTCAACAATCCACAGTGTTCCTCCAACTCCTCTACCAATACTAACATGAGCCTTTTGACTTTCAGCGCCGACGTCGCCATTTACGGCGCAACCGACAGTACATTCTGAAGGGCCGTATGCATTGATGACTTTTGTGTTTCGACTCCAAGCAGCTGCGTCCCCTGCAGATATAGCTTCCCCTCCTAGTCCAAGGACCTCGAGTGAGGGTATAATGTCAGGGTCTAGGACACGAGCGACCGAAGGTGTCATATGAGCCATATTGACGTTCATCTTTCGTATTGCACCACTGAGGTCGTTAACTCGGTCGGCATCCGATGGAATACACAGGCAGCCCCCGACTGATAATGTGCAGAGCATGCAGTCAATACAGACGTCGAAAGCGTAGGATGCGAAATCAAGAACACGCGAATGTGCGCGATATCCGACTATGTTTGCGCGTGGTATCGCTCCGCTGGAATAATTCTCGTGCGTTATAATAACACCCTTAGGTTTCCCCGTGCTACCCGATGTGAACTGTATGTAGAGGTTTGTACTAACTGGCACAGAGGGCAAACTTGAAGAGGTGTCATAGTTTTGAAACTGCTCAGCGGATAGGACTATGTGTGTTGCGTTCGGAGCGATGCGTTGACCTAGGTTCTCTTGGAGTTTCGACGTAATAATTGTAGATGCACCAGTTTGCTCAACGATAGTTCTCAGTCTTCCTTCAGGTTGGCTCGGATCCATCAGCGCAAACGTCCCCCCGGATTTCATGACCGCTAATACAGCCACGACGGTCCATTTCGACTTTTCGAAACATAAAGGTACGATTGACCCTATCGCGACACCCACTGATATAAGATGGGCCGCAAGCTGGTCGGATTTGGAGTTCACATCTTGGTATGTAAATGTACCATCCCATGACTGAACAGCTGGTCGATTAGGCTCTTTGTTCGTTTGCTCTGTCACCAACTCATGCATGCAGATCTTCAACGTCGAAGGAACTGGCGTGTTCCAACTCCATATCTGTTCTAATTGCTCTGTAGTTAAGCCATCTTCTTCGAGATCTGTGGGTGGGGTGGTTAGATGACCGCTTGAAACACCCTCGTCAGTGTGGACCGAGTCGGCACACGAGTTATCGGCATCCTTTTGGCTCATTGTTGAATTTAGAATCTTGCCTTCGGTCGGTTTCCCGTTCGATGGTCAGGACTTGAAGATTCAAAGCTTAGATCTACGGTTTTCAAACTCGCATATTTGACGAGAGAATGTGTGGGCCCTAAGGACTTGTTAAGTGTCGTGCAAGATGCAGAGTCTGCTGATAGCAGGCCTATGAAAGATTCAAGACACCGAAAAGAGTGCCTAGAACGCTAAGGAGAAAAAAAGAGCGCAGCACATGAAGGTTCCATACCTGTATCCATTCTTGCCGACAACGGCAACTGATTCTACTAACACAGGTATGAGAGAAATGATCGCCGAAGTAGTTCACTTGAAGCAACATTCCTTTTCGGCCTTAGGATGGTTAGGATGAGTACCTAGTATTTATGAGGGGCCGTTAGAACGGAACCAAGATGACACCAACGCACGTCTTCTCCACAGGGAGACGGATCAGATAACTTTAAACGGATCTGATAATTTGACAATTCGTAATTAGTGGGAAGAAACCTGGTTAATAGACAAGGGGAAGGACCTCCGATGTAGAAGAACTAGAAGAACCGGCGTTGTAACGGTAGGGATCTTTAGAGGCTCGGCGGTAATGTTTTGGAAGAAAGGTGTATGGGAGCTCCGAATTTGCGACATGTCCGCATAACATATAGAGCTGACTTGCTTACGATTACTTATAGGGAAAGCTGTACGTCGATCAGATGTTAATGCTGCTCCTGCCGCCACCTAGACCTACGTATTCCTCTTCTATTTCCCTGAATTCATTTAGACTGGTGGGGGATGACTTGTAGGGGTTATTCCACCCGAAGTATCCGTAAATATGCGTTAGAGAATGGTGAGTGTTAGTTACCATCCCACTAAGTGAACCCCACGCTTGTAGGTCTGAATTGAGAAATGAAAACCGCAAAATCGACATTAGAAAATAAGTACCAAAGTAATTCAATTTAAGGTTACGATTGTAATAATAGTTGATATGAATTTATTTGTGGAATATTATCATAGGATGTAGCTTACCTAGACTGTTGGATACCTACCTAGTACCTGGGTAGGTAAAAGAGAAAATTCGCGGCCGATTAAATATTTGATTAGGTAACTGAGGGAATCTGTAGGATAGAAACCAGGCAGACGTAGCTATAATATCTTTGTTCTATGTCATTAAGTAAGATTTACCTGGATCGATATTGACCCCGGGACGAAATAGGTAGGTTACTCGTAGACATCGTATCATGGGGGTTTCTCACCTGGAGGGTGTCTTAGCTTGGCTCTGGTAGGTCCCCTAGATTTCGAGATCTTCGAGCTGAATTGTTCTTAGAAGGAATAGGATACCATATCATCCGGGCATGGCATGTGGTTGGTAAATCTTTTACAATGAGAACCGGGTTCACCACGTAGCTCAGTGCATTAACCTACATTAGTGGTTCAAAGTTTTAGGAATTGTTCGTGATGGGTGTCCTGTTAATGCTGAATTAAGTAAGGGTGGGACTGAAGAGGAGGGTGAGGGTGGGGGAATGTTCTTGTGCCTGATCTTCTCTTCTCTTCCCATAGGCTAGGTACATACTATAAGTACTGTAGATGCTTGAAAACTGGGAACATATTTGAGTCGCATATGATCATCCGCTGTTCCTAAACATGGTCAATTAATTGTGATGTATCTTGGGGTAGGAAAGCTCACCTAGACTCGAAATGTAAACGAATCTAGTATATAAAACGATACGTATTCGGATATACCACGACTTCATATTTAATAGAGTCCAGAATCCTTGGGTAGTAATTTTACGTAATTAGACACCATGTTCAGCTTCAAGATGCGAGATACTTAAGTACGCATACTGATATTCGGCCGGCGAATCGGACAACCAAGGCTAGCAACCACCTGGGAGACCTAGAGCTCTCAGCTTACTCCTGCAACCCTTTTGCTGCTTGAACAGCTCCCTAAAATGTTAGGCACAGTAAGTGGAACTAGAGCCAATTAATCCACCAGCCCTTAACCGCTTACGCGTGGATATGACAAAAGAAAAAGCAAGTGACTGCCTGCTTAAGTACCTAGGTACCTACGTAGGTACGTTTTAATATGCCTCCATCGCCAACCAACTGATAGACACATCAAGTCCCTTAGGCATGCTAGTAGGATATGAATACCTGATGCGGCTGCGTTTTCGCCTTCATGGTCTGTCTGAAGCCTGCGCCTTCGGGAGGAGCACGTTCCGGCAATCCAACGTAGTCACAGCCGTGCATTTCGATCGGAAGGAAGAAAAGCCTTTCACTTATCTTGAGTAGGTCTCGAGAGCGGGACACATACTAATAATTATAGGATTTTCTTCATTCAAAGACGTAGGTAAGTCGCGGAATGTTTTGAACCATTTTACTCACCACTTACCGCTTTACTTAATCTGAGATAGTGCGGCGTAATTAGGCGCTAATGACGGCCTCATCACGGCGAGGCCGCGTCTTCAGGGGTCGTTTCAAGTAAGAGATTTGACACGACTCATTCATAACCGAAGCTGCCTTTAACAATCACCTCGAACAGGTCCAAATACTTTAGCGAATACATCTGAAGGTAAAATACCATACGAATGATATGGAGTACCGTAGTTTTGTTAGTTGCTCAAGTATCGTGCATGTCTTGAGTACTGTGTACTGTCTGGTCATCTCACATCATTCATAGTTGAGCACCGTATGTTTTGCATCAAGACGATTCGTGGTGTTGCAATGATAAATGTTCCTCTAAAATGGATGGGTATGTACAAAATCTTGCCAAACACAGTGTAAATCTACTGTCCTAGGCAGATTTTCTCCAAGTCTACTATATCCTGGCTCACGCCCTTCAAAAATGAAAATCTCAAATGCTATATACAGTTGGTGCCCATAGCCCCCAAAGAAATGATGTACATATTTGGTTACAAATGACAGTCCCATCTAAACGTGTTGCGCGAACCCGAGTGTGTTATTGCCACCGTTGAAAGCGACAAAGTTGCTCTTGAAAAAGATATCGCCGTAAACCTGTAAGCCGGCTGGCGTTGCTTGTAGACCACCGAAGCAAGCTGTTATTTGTTAGCATCGTGAGTTTATGAATGAATTATGTGGTAAAAACTTACTCTGATCATCGACTTGCGCAAAGTTGATATCGGTGCCCTTGACAGTCGCCATGTTACCACCAACATCGAGTTGAAGATCGGGCAACTGAGCATTGCAAGGGAACGTGAAACCGCCTTGCTGTTGGTCATCAACAGCACCATCAACTTGCGCATAGTATGCTTTTGTAACGGCGGGGTCGGCGAGAAGGAGGGTAGTACCAGTGTCAGCAATGGCCTGCGCACCGGCTGTAGACGTTTGAGGAGTTCCACCATTGACGGCAAACTGCTCACTCGTGAATTGCCAGAATCCTTGGGTAGTGTTTACTGGAACCCAAGTCATGGCACCGGTGAATTTGGAGGTGTCTACACGGCCAAACTCATAAGCGCCCACTGCCTGCGCGCGTAAATCGGCGGTAAATAGAGGCTCAGCAAGAGATGACTTGACGTTATCGAAGAAAGTCTTCTGCGGCGCCGGCTGTACAGTGTTCAAATCGCTAAACGCCAAGCCGACAAGACCATTGTTGTTGGTGTCTTGAACGAAAGATTGGGAGACCGCAGTAGCCAACTCAACAGCCTGGTTGGTGACGGTGGCACCACCAATATTGACAGTATCAGTACCAACGTTACCCGCAGCACCGGATCCATCACCATAGGAGATCTGAAACGATGCACCTTGCATAAGAGCGAATGTCTTGGACTGGGTGGGATCGTAGACGGTATGACCTTGGGTGGCTGCCTTACTGAGTTGCGTGTTGAAGACCCACAAATCGGAAGAGCCAGAATCGAAGTCGAGGTTTAGAGTCTGTCCACCAATGTTCACGGGAGCAAGATATTCAACATCGTTGGCCTCAGGAGTTGCTGTCACAAGACCAGTTCCGTTAGTTGCGGCTCCGGTAGCTGCTCCAGCCGCGCCGGCTGCACCACCTTTCGAAGCGCCACCTCGACCCTTGCCTTTTCCTTTCCTGCGATTTTGTCTCTTGCTAATCATCTCATTCTGCTGTGTAGCAGCACCAGCAAGGGCAGCTGGTATAGGCATCCGGTATTTTCGGAGCGTCTTTAATAAGGCTCGGGGACCATTGCGGCCAGTGAAATCCGGATTCGCAACTCGTTCGACCTTATATACACCTCGCTTCTGAATCTTGGTTGGAGAGGCGGATGTCAAGGCTAAAAGCCCAAAGATGAAGAGCAACTTCGCGTAGGACTGCATTTTTCTAGATTGTCTAGAAGAAAAAAGAAAAGCAAAAAAAATATGTATGACCACGCCAGGTGGATTGAATGGGAAATAGTGATGGAAGAGAAACCCAACTTTGACTGGCGGTTCGACTAAGTAAAAGTCGGATATGAAGTGGGACAATCTACAAAGAAAGAATCGGTAAAGCTGACGGGCACCAACAAGCAATGAGGGACGAATAGAAAGAAACAAAAATAAAGCAACTGTTGAATGAAAGTTGTCTCAGACAACGAGCCTCATGAGAGATGAAGTGAAGAGATAAAAAAGAAGCCAAGAGATGAGAGCCAAGAGGTCTCCTTTTGAATTGAAGAGCAAGTCTAAGAGAAAGGAAAAAGGGGTGTAGGGATTACACCTAGTAGAGCATCATTCGATCTACATGGAACTACATGAAGATCAGAAACAAGCTCTGGCCAAGCTAGCCAAGGGCAATCATGGATATGATGCGCATCTTGTTTCGAATGTTGAAAAGTCCTAACAGAATAGGATCTGCGTCGTCATGTTCCCCGTCGACAGTCGAGACGAGATCCACTGGAGACGGATGGTGTGGCATAGGTAGTGGGGGCTGTAAAGAAAACGGACAAGAAGATTCCCAATAACGAATATGACTGGTTATTAGGGGTAAGAATCTGAATGGATATGAAGCCCCAGTAACTAATGCAGGGGGGTTGGGGGACCATGAACCCCGTAATAAGTACTTAGAGTCTGGAGAATTGCGCCTCGTGGCGTTGTAATCCTTTATACATACCAGTATACCTAGCAATTTGCCGGCGCAGCCTCCAACAAAACTGCCGATTACCCAGTACCTACCTAGGTACCTAGGTAGTTAGGTATTTTGTATGTGATACTAGGTATTCATGGATTATACCTGCTCAGTTAGCCGGTTGATATTGAAGCATAATTGCGATTGATGTAGGTAAAGCACCCAGGTAAATGAAGGAGATAGAAATTAACGACCATCGGGTTGGACTGGGGTATAGAATAACCATCTATATCCAGTAGACACCTGGGTAGTATAGGGCCGTGCCTACGCAACGGTCGGGGATCAGGTACAACATCTAGGTAGTACCTAGGTAAAGGCCTCCTATGGGAAGTTGAAGCGAGTTGGTTTGTGAAATGGCTAGCTTTGGTTCCTCGGTACGGTCCCTAGTCTGGAATTCGAACAGGGTTACGTATTCCCCGACAAAGGCCAAACAGAAAGACGGAGCTATTCCTAGTCTCGAATCTTTAAAGGAACCAATCGTAAAAGCTTGAAAGAAGATCCTGGGGCGTTTCAAGAGCGACACAGGGTTTAACCTGGGGGTAATGAGATCACGGATCCTAGCAGTTATTCGCGAAAATTGACAATTAGGGAAATTGAAGAAGGGATTTGAACTAGTATTTGTAAAGAATGGAAAAGAGGTCCAAGAGCTTTACCCGCATTGAAATCACAATAATCTGCATACCTAGGTATACCTAAGTATTCTGCAGCACGGAAAGACTAGAAGAAGCTTGTTTGCAATAAGACTTTTTCATCGGCCTGAATTGCGGGGGAAGAAATAGACTAAGACGATCATCCGATATTATACCTAGGTAGTTAAAATAATTAGAATGTAGGAGTCCATGTTGTGGTGTAGGACGTAGAAATTAGTAGTAGAGAAATTGAAGATGTAAAAATGAGGGAAGAGATCTGAATGCGACGAGCTAAAGCAACCGATTTCCTCTGACTATGCATATTACCTAATCATAGCGTCAATACTTAGGTACATCATTTATCATTTGAGCACATTATCAAGCCACATACAAACACGCGAAAAAAGAAACACGTGACGTTACTATTCCAGCCACCTAATTATTTTGTACCGATTAACCGTTTGAAACTGAACCTTTTTCCCACCCCCAACCTCACAATTTCCCATTTATTTTCGTTTTTAGGTAGCTATAACCGTATTGATCCAAAACTAACCCCCCGGAATAGCTCCAAAAAAAAAACGATAAGGTCCCTCCATCGCATTTTTATCTCTTTCCGTACCAAAAACGAAAAGCGATAACAGCTTTTTCCCCCCTTCGAGCGGGAACGGCTCATTCCCCCCCAATCGCATTCCCCCCTCCCTCGACGTCGAGCAATCGTCGCCTGGAGTCAGGACGACAACGGCAGCGACAGCGACAGCAATATCGAGTATCGACGTCCATATTGACACTGACGAGGATTGATGCTCACTGGTGTTACTTGTCATTAACAACGCCACTACTAGTATCACCATGTCGGACGATGATGTCGAAGTCACCGGTACGCGTAGTTCGCGCCGTAACGCTGATAGAAGAACCCCGCGATTCAGTTGGAACTTATCCTATGAAGAGACCTTCTTTAGATCGCTTTGCGAATCTATGCAGATGGGTTATAAGGAAAACCATAGCTTTAAGTCTGGTGCCTGGGAACGAGCAGCCATCGCCCTACGCGATAAGCATGGCGCGTATCCTGAAAAGAGTCACCTAATTAATAAAGCCGACAATGCGCGTAAGAAGTTTCGCATGTGGAGAGGATTAAGGGAGGACCCCGAATTCCTATATAACCCCACTACCAGGATGGTTACAGCAAACGAAGAAGCTTGGAGAAGACATTTCGAGGTAAGCGGATAGTTGTACATCTCTATTAACTCACAGTGTAAAGACTTTCTAAACGCCCAGCGCTGACGATTCCCGATTCCGACTTGTAGAAAGAACCACTGTCAAAAGCATTGAGAGGTCGACCATTCGATCACGAAGAATACATGGAGATCTTATTTCCTGATGTCGTCGGTTCTGGTGGCGCACCGAAGCGTATTATGAAACCGAGGCGGAGAAATCCAGATGGTACTTTATCCAATCGACCGAGCACCGCGGACCAGACAGTTATAGATCCCGCTCTCGATGCGAGTATATACGCTCAGACTCCAACGCAAAATCCGACACCACAGACGCAACCAATAAGCCAACCTGTACCAACACCTCCCATGCCGCAACAAACCATTCAGAGACCTTCCTCCACTACCATTCCGCCCCGAACTTCCATAACCGCAAACCCAAGCGCACTGACACCTCCAGATGAGCACGTCCCGAATACACAAGCTCAAAAACGACCAAATCCTAATCCAAACCCCGCCTACCCGGAGAAACGTCGTGGTAGACCTTCTCGTTTTTCCTCCAACTTTTATACTCAACAATCCATTAATACGGCGTCATCTTCGTCCATACAACCCCCACCTCCTCCAACTACTACTACACCCTCGGCATCGCAAGTGACACATTCGTCTTTTACTCCAGCCATACTTGAGGACGGTATCCTCACCCTCGCCGAAGCTCTCAAAGGTCGTAATCCTCCTAAGTGGCCAGAACAAGCTGTCGAGATTTTCTTCCGCGAGTTCGCAGACGAAGATGCCGACCTACAACTCAAAATAGCAGAGAAAGCGTTGACAGATGAAAACAAGGCGATGGTTTTTGTTAAAATGACACCAGCATTAAGAAGACATTGGGTTGGTAGATTGAGAGATGTTCACCAAAGGAATCTATCAGGTGGAGGGCTAGGTTTAGGAGGAAGAGTTGGCGACGAAGCAAATTAAAAGTGTTTAAGCTTTCGGGAAGCTAGAAACCTATTCATGACAGACGGTCAGACGACGATTATGTGCGTGGCGTTTGGCGCACAGGTGTTCTATGATGGAACAAAAGGAGCACATGCTATAGTGCGTTGTTAGGGACATGGCTTCTATAAAGAGCCCTAGGAGGGCATTTGTCTCAAGACCTATTATTGCCAGATGAAAGCTTCTACGACTTTGTAATTATGGCGTTTGGTAGTCATGGCGACCTTTGTTTGTCTCTGGCGGAGTCGGCTCCTTGTTGCTCTATCTCGCCAGCAGCATTATGATCAGGGTACGTATATACAGTATATACGACTTTACTCAACTTAATGATATTACTCCTTGAACAAACCCTACATCTGTACGAGCCGTCACACAAAGTTCTACCTCAGCATCTCACAATTAGAACATCACCCTTAGACATAATATTTACTCGCCGTTCCCAGCAATTGAAACCTCGCGCTTTTACTCTATACTTCTTGTTGCTATCAGCTCTAGTTAAGATAGTGGCGGTCATCAATCGCATTCATGAATCATTTAGCTGTATGAGGAACTTCATTCTTTAATGCTGGTAAAATTCACGTAAATCCCCAGAAACCAATCCTACGCGAACACCAGAAGTCTACTTGACACCTAACCCATACCTTTGGACCCAGCGAATCGCCAGGACATACATAGGCGAAGTACCCACACCAATCATAGTGCTTCAACCTTACGCCGTCAATCACCTTGCAGGGTGCGGTCGAACTGCCTCTGAGGCCATGCCTGTTCAGTCTATTCATATAGAATTAGGAAATGTGGAAAGGAAAACCGAGTATCGTTGAAATGTCCGTGGGGACCCTGGAATCTATATGTACCTGTTGGTTGGCCGATAGTGCCTAAAACGAGGGCAAGACAGAATGTTGTCCAACGAAAGCTCGCCGACCCAAAGCCAACCTAGAAAACAACGTAAGAGAAGCATCAAGGCAACAACTGTAAAAAAATGACAAATGACATCAACAGGTAAGCGTACCATGTATACTAATCATGAAAGTCAATAAGGGAAACGAGGAGTTGTGTATAAACGGTATGGTTGTTGGGGCACGCATGGATTTGTAAATGAAATAAAGCAACCCTTCACATTCCGGTCATTGTTGTTGTTATAAAGGTTGGGTCTATCGGTGTATCCTCTGATACACTATGATTAACGAAAAGTAAAGACATCAGATATGTGCATACGGTGATGACGATTCGGGTATATATCGTGAAGCCATTGACGATATTATCGGTGTTTTGCGATATTGCAATAGAGAAGTGGATTGCTGCGACGATGACACAGAAGAGGTACCTAAGGTACCATTAGCTAGTGAGCAAACTGTCTCTATAAATGATACTAACAATTTTCTCCGGTTACTAAGCTCGCTTGGGATGAGATTTAGCTGCAACCAGAGATAGATGGAGAAACAAATTGACCATACCTAGGTACGGCATACGTTCTTTGGAGTACTCATTAGCGATAATGGCTGCGAGTGCGGGGCATATTTCACCTACATAATCCAGGCAGTATTGGGGATCTCGTCCAGTGTACGGAGTGGTACTACTACAACAGCAGTTGCTAACGAGCTCACGCCGCTTGCAATCCGCAACCCGCGGGGAATAGTCGACGTCACGACGGGAACGGTGTAAAATAAAATCCCTCCGACTAAGCCAAAGCCCCGAAGAAAGCGGATCCATGGGCCATTCCTGTTGCTTGAGGCAATAGACTTAACAAGAATGTTAAGGAGAGGAGCGCCCACCCCCATTCGGGCGTAAGGGCCAACCCCTTTTGTGGCTATCCAGCCTGGTAGACAATGCGATTGCAAAATGACGTAGCATCCCTTGATAGGAACTTTCGGCATGGCATCCAACATCTCCGCAATGCGGTACTCATTGGATGGAATGACGTACCCGGATTCAGGTCCCGTGCTGACTATAGTGTCCGCACCCGCCTCAACAGAGCCGGGCACACACTGAATGACCCGCATACTTTCAGCTATACGGCAGCCTGTACTCGCGGCTTTCGAATCTCGTTTCCTTATATAATGTCCCGTCACTTTAGAATCACTAATCGATTTCGTCCCCGTAGTGGCGATGTATGGCTCTCCTTTTTTCCTAACAAGAAACTTGTGAGTGATGATGACGCTTTTAGGCGTTAATTGCACCCACTAATGATTGCAGTCTCGAGATGTTATTCTATAGTTCGGGATTATGGAAATGGTCTCAATATTAAGGTTGAGACCCTTCGGCGGTGTCGGTTCGCTCTATATTATCACGTCAAATTGATGTTGACACAATTTAGGCTACTATCTGTAACGATATAATCTTCCAAGATGGTCCAAATTCTTAGCCCTCCAGTACTGCATTCGTGTTGCGACTAGTCAGGGCGGGGCTGCAGCATTCGGAACGCGCAGACGCATCCCGTTACCGCTTCGACATTGTAGAGTTCGATATTTTGGGCTCGGCTCGATGGAAAGGATGCTTAGGCTGTTAAGCTTTTCGCTTCAAAGATAACTGCCTTAAAGACTTAGGGTACTTGAGCTATTAAGATCTTGGCTTTAAAGATAACCGTCTCGAAGATTTAGGTAGACGAGTAAGTAGCTAAAAGGTTGGGCTTCTCTAAACCCTGTTTGATTTGCAAAGTGGCTTTGATAGGGGCTGGACTGATACCCGACGAGGCCGCAACACCTTGTGCGACCGGATTTTCGACCCAATCCAATTCAAATTTTCCTTCCAGCCTTCCTTACATTGAGATCATCACTATATCTTCTTCATGCTTTCTCTTGGCCCCCGAAACCGACATAGCATCAAATGTCTCTCGGACAACTATTCAATACACGTATATTGCTCAGGTGATTGAGAAGGTTGGTGGTATTCTTTCCGCCAGGGTACCGCTCGCTAGAGCGTGAAAAGGCGTCGCATAGGCGCTGTATATAACAAGGTAGGCCATGGTCCACAACTCCTGACATAGGTACTACTGACAATCCCAAGCCTACGAAGACCCATAATCCAAGCGACTTCAAAGTTTACCTAGCGACCGACAAAGAAGGGCGTATCAGACCATATATCACCGAGTACTCGTATATCTTCGCCGAGCCTCCAAGACATGCCCAGCGACAGCTGCTTAGAGAAAAATTATCAAGGAAGGATAGACTATGCTCGAGGACCTACTCCTACGTGCCCGATCACATACAGAACCGACCCCTCATTACTTCGGACGTCTAAATACTCGAGAGATATGGCTAGGCCTAAAAGAAGTCATCGGAGCTGTATATTGTGTGCTGAAATCACTTTGATAGCTGTTGCTATTATGCCTACTCGGGTGATGTATTGTTTCGATTATCACCACAGCCGGTCGGCTATGAACAACGTAAGCATCACTGACGGGATTTATTTCGATACATTTCGATCAAATGGAGGCCACGCTAACCTCACAGATAACCTAGCCACCTCAACCCGTCACGGACTCGCCTCTCGTCTCAGTACTTCTCTCTGAGCCATCAACTACCACCTTCCTCGTGTGTATACTTGGGTATTGCGCGGCCATCGGATTGCACTACTATTGCAGCCCCAGCACAAGGTACCAAGATCCAATTCTAGTCGCTAGCGCGGCCATGGGTATTATTATTGGAATTGTAAGCAGCTTGGATCTGCAAGGAATTATATTTCGAGTCCTTCCGACTTCCATACTAACCGCATCGCTTATCCATTCTTACGCTTCGCGTTTCGGTCTTCGCTAGTGCGTTCCCTCTCTCCCCTTCACCTGTTATGACTTGAACGAATCCCAGTACAGATACCTAGGTAGACGATACAATTTGTTAGGAGGTTGGCGTGTTTTATTATTTTGTCATACATTAGAATCATATTGGGAAACTTAGAATATCTCGGTACAATAGTTATTTAGATTTCCTTATTTAAATGTGTGCTTCGAAAATTATCCGCGCACACTCTTTCACTCTAGCTATCTGTATTTTTGCTATTTAATTAGGTAGGTACACAGGTTGACATTAATTGGTGGATTTCTACGTATTCCCAGTATTTACGTCTTCCAGACAGCTCAGCAGGTCTCTCTAGGCCTAAGGCTGCTTATTAACACCTTTACGGTTTCACTTAGCCTGAGCAGTGTTACTCTCTTTCCGTCTTTGCCTGTATCCTCCAAATCAGAAGTGGCGGCTATAGAAGTGTCGCGCGAACGTCCCGGGCCCCTCGTAAAAGAAGTAATAGAAAAAGAAGAAGAAGGCGGAGGTGAACGTGATGAATCCACATGAACCTCAACACGCCCATCCTTGCAAAACAGCATAGGCGGTAGCACAGCATAACGCTCAAGTCGGCGGAACGGCACAACTCCACCCTTCCCATTCCCATCGCCGTTCACCTCGGGATAGTTATACGGCCTCGACCACTCCGGGCGGCGGTACGTAGGTTCGACACTCGGGAGTTGCACGACGAGATGTCGCGCCAGCATCCCACGGACCGCGCTTAAGACCCATCGCTCTCGTACCTGCCACCAAGATCTTACTTCCGGAGCCTCGTGACCGCTATTTGGAGCATCGCTCTTATGCATACAATGAACGTCTCCGGCGGAATTAGAGGAAATACCAAGTCGGATAGTGACGTCGCGCAGGGCGGCGAAGCGAACAAGATCCGACAATAACGTGCACAATTCTGCCCAAGGACCTGCGGGCGTAGAGGGGTTGAGGTGTAGGCGATGCTGGTGCAGGGTTTCGAAGGGGAGAACTAGCGAGAAAGCTAGAGAACGTAGTTGTGAGGTTGTAGTAAAGGGGGATCGAGCTAGGCACACGTGTGCTGCGGGTAGGTCTGTGAACACAAGGGTCACGGACTTGTATAGGCTGGGTCGAGCCTCGAGATACCTAGTCCAAGATGTCAGCTTGATTTCACACCTGGAAGTTTGTAATAATACTTAATTCTTTCTAGTAAATTGAAATGGGGGCGGGGTAGAATGATACGGGTAGCCAAGCATAAGTCGTAGAAGAATAGGGGTACCTACGTTCTTTTGCAAGTCAGGAGGATAGGCAAGAAAAGAGCGCGCCTAGGTCGTCGGTAGCCGTAGCATGTATCCTTAGTGTCGGCGACCGCCTTCATTTCCTCTTCGCACCGCCAATGTTCATGCCAAGGAGAGGAAAACCTCGAGGTCCACTTGTCACTTACACCTAAAGTACGAGTGCGTGATCCCCGCGGAATTCCTTGATTCTCTACCATCATCTGAAGCTCCTCCAGCCTTTCATCGACTTCGTTGGTAGTCAAAACACATGGCGAATGCGTCAGATGACCATGTTGCATGAATACGTGCTGGCTGAGTCCCGACACTTTCCAACATTCAGCGTAGATCATATCCCGAATTTCCAAAGGCAGCCTTCCGAAAAGTATCGAACTACGCTGTAGGTCGGCCGTATCCCGCATACGGACTAGGTCGGGGTCTGAAGCTGGTGTGACAATAGCCTTGAGCGACATTGCGCCTGGCATCGGCTTGTTCGTCGTTACATAACTCTGCCGTTATGTGGTGTAACAACGGTAATTTCGATTATGTTGGTGTGCGAGAAGCTCATACATTTATATGTGCCGTAGCCTTGTGCCCCTTCATATCGGAAGGCGAAATCATTAGTACGGCCCGTATGTCGAGTCTCATATCCTGCGCTTGTGGTGGTTCCGATGGAATGGTAAGCGTTCTTCGTCTGGTATCCTATTGGATGATAATCGCCAACACCTATATAATATAATCTTAAAAGGGGAATTGATTGCGGCGAGGTGGTATCTGGCGGTAGCGCATATAGCTTATTGGATGTTGGTACCCAAGCAGCCAAGCTACCTAAAGGAATCGTCTACTTTCAACCGCGCTGCCTATCTAATCCTTGGCCGATGTAACCCAAATTCCTACATACGATCCAGCCGATACGACGTGCAGGACGTGATGAGAATGTGGAAAAACTAATAGAAATCGGTGAGCGCTCTATCGCACTAAGGCATAGGGTATATCCTGATCCGGCATTCTGCAGTGTTCCTCACCTATGAGCTGAATTGAAAAAAAGGTGTTGGTAGTTATATTATTATATGGCGGCCAACAATAATAATTACGCAGGTGTAATGGCAATAGATTTCAGCATAATGACTATACCTCGAAAAGGAGGAAATAGGGGGTAACAATAGGATGATGCATAATGAGAACTAATGCCGGTATGATGTGATGGAAGGAATGTGTGTTGACCATATACTGTCTTTATCAAATGAACATTGATCCGTCCGCCATTCCTTCAGACGGCACAGCTTTCAGCGAATCATTCTAAGCTGATACTAGGCATATGATATTCGCCTTCAAAGTATTGCGCAGTCCTACCTCCATTAGAAGACCAATCAACACGCACACTCGCTTTTTCTAACATTTTCTCTTAGAAAAAGTCTAGCAAGTAGGGATTTGGTATGCTCATCCCCTCTCTGTCCATGATAATGAAACAGTGACTTTCTCGACCCTTCGTATGTGTTTCCCACGTAAACCGATCCACTTCACCTGGATTAAACTGCCAGTAACGCAAAGGAGGGCGGCGTATAACCTTGAATGATGTATCCTCTTGACCGTCAAGGCTTTCCATATTTGATGGGTGTACCTTAATGGGTAGCAATGGTGGCAACTCGAGAGTGAAGGTTTTCAACACCTTCAAGTCTTTCAACTGTGCTGCGATAACTTTCTCGGGGATCTTTCGCCATGGCCCACGGTCGTAAATGTCTAGAGAGATTCGCACGCTATGTAAGCATGAAACCCCACGCAGGGCGTCGAATAGATCTCTTGTACGACTTTTGGGTCCACCAGTAATCAATGGTGCATATGCGTGGAAAGGAAGGTTGAGCGATAAGTCCAGATGACGTATATGGGGGATATATGGCGAAGGATCATAGACGAAAAATCTATGTGCCGAGAAGAAGTCGTTGAATATGAATTGATGCGATTCTAGGATTGACTCGACAACTTCGGGGAACCTGTATGTCTCATGTCAGCCCAAAAGTGCCAAATTTAGTAGCGAATGACACGAAAGATTATGACATGCGCCATAGTACATATGTTTATTTGGGGACTTACATGCGTTTGCAGACTAGCATCATGGACATGAAGTTCGTACGATCTATGTTACTCTTCCCACCATATTGCATTCTTTCTTCACATCTCCAATGACGAGAACCCCAGGTTGAAGATAGTCTTCTTTGCCACATTAGAAGGTCACCTCTTCCAGAACCATGGATTCTATCCACTGTGACCGTATATTAGCCACTGTCATTGTGGAAAATTAATGGAGCGAGTTAAAGTCGTGGAAGAGGGAGAGAAAGATCTGGCTATAAGAGAACACGGGGAGTGCTATGAGGATGAACAGAAATTGAAAGTATACATACTATTCTTCTGGATTAAATCCAAGTCTTCATCATCCTCGTACATGACGCATCGTGTATTATGCCAGTGACCATTTTGAAAATGGAGATGACGCCCACGAACCGCATGGTATTTGTGATCATAAGAACCAATCCAAACAAGATCGTATATCATTCTACGAATCTCGATGGGTAGGTCACGAAAGAACTTGCTATTCGGCTGGAGATCAGGACCAACCTTGGTATCATCGTGAGTAGTGTGTGTCGACGCATCCTTAAGCTTTTTAGGCTCACATTCGGTGGATGAATTACTTGATCTTCTCCTTTTCTTCAAGCCAGGACGAAAGAAAGACCTAACCTTTGAAGGGACTAGAGCGACGGCCATCTTAACAAGGTGCTATGTATGCCTAGGAGATGATAATAGAAAGGAAGAACTTGACCTACACTAGTACGTCACGAAGTAGGACATACGGGTAGTCTAAATACTGCCACATGTAGTCACGCATGGGGCAACAAGTAGGCAGACATTAGGCCGAAGGGTACATATTCTTCCCTCCCACCAAAGAGGGGGAAGTCCTCCTTGATCGCCGGCCATCTACATTCGAGCACATGGCATATTCGCACCACAACACAAATAGGTAGGAATGACACGTCTCACGACATGATAGCGATAAGTTCCACGAGCCGATAGTCAGACATTTAGTCTGAGCCACCCTGATGGAGGGGGGGATTATGAGTTGAGGTAGGTCCGTAGGTCCGTATATCCGTATGGGAGTTCGTATGGGAAGCCATGATGGAGGTATCGTCAAAGTAGCTTATCGAAGCAAAGGGAATATCTTGTCGTCTACTCGGCCGAGGGTGGAATATTTCGGTATGTGTACTTGTATTAGTTGTACTGCGTACGCCGTAATACATATTAAACATTAGACCTATGTGTGTGCCATTCAGATGGTATCCAATCAGCAAATAGGATTATACCAGAGTGGAAATAAATATAACCAATTAAGAAATGAAAAAGATGATTTTCGCACACACCTATGTACTTAGATACCTAGATGTGTACCTGGATACTATTTAGGCATGGTCATCTCACCGAACATGTCGGACATGTGTGTGTCGGTGGATCAACCATCCAACCGGGTTCTCTTAACAAAACCTCCCCATCTTATAATTACATCACAGTACTTGTGACCAAGGTAGGAGTCATTTTAAATGATCATTCGCTTTATTGTCACAGGAATGGATATATTGATCGACCGTAGCAAAGCGAATGTCGTTATCGTTGTGAGGCTTGTAGGATTTCGGAGGATGACTATGATGACTGCCAAGGTATCGCATATCTTATCCTTCAGGTGATTGAAGAAAAATGTGGCTAAAGCTGACGAATGAAATATCAACCAACGGTGAAGATTTGGATGATTTTCAGGTGATGACTAGTGAAGAAGAGGATAGATACGGTATCTTTAATGCCGACCGTGATGGCTACTATGGATATCTAATAGTTTAGGGAGAAGGAAGATGAAAAGAATAGTCTTGACCGATGTAACATGCAATCGTGAAGATCAAGGATAAATCAAAATGTCTCAAATGTGTCATAATATGGTACCCCGCGGACAGTGGACACGAGGGGTATTTGTTACACGAGCACGGTCACTATTTTCCCTTTTTGACTACAAAGTGAATCAAAATATAGATATATACCTAGGTACCTAGGTATGTAATTATCTGAAGGCGCACAAGACGACGTCATACCATTGAAGATTTGCTTATGAGATACCTAGGTAAGTACCTAAGCATGTATCAATTTGAATGGGCATATTATGTAATTAATACCGGAGTTATCTTGGTCCTAAAACTGAAATTCGACTGCTATTTCGGGCGCGTTACATTTCCACACTTTATACAGCCAAAACCTACAGCACAAGCACCACGTCGGTATTCAAGAAGAGGCTCTCGAAATAAAAGGCCTACATGTACTTTACAAGTTACCCTTATCATTTCTGATGCTAATATCTCGATAAATAGAGCAATATGCGATGTCCGATGCAATGCAATGCATGTTCGTCAATCCTATCCTGCACAACCAACGAACCCCCGACTTCAGCGATCGTGCTACCTATTAACTACCTACTAATGTACCTACCTAGGTAGTGACTATCCTACCGACTTTAGGTAAGATTTGATTGCAGCTTACCTGCTCATCAGTATTTCTCGTCGTAAGAAATTAATTACCAACCCTACAATACCTGCTCTGCGCTCAGTACTAAACAACCACCCATCCAATTGGAAAGTCAACTTATGGTTATACGTACAAGTAGTATGAAGCTATTGTCATAACTTAATCTTGACAATCGGGGACACTAGAGCAATCCGTTACAGTTAGTCTACTCGCATGCCATGGCTTTGGGGTCGCTACTAATGCTTTGCTTACCTACCTGGATACCCAATAAGCGTGGCATCTAAGTCCCAACGACTTGTACTGTTGGCGATGTTGCGTCTCGGTTCAATTCGGCGAGTCGCGGTTGGGTTGACCCTAAACCAACCGCTCGGATACTTACGGAGTGACTCGATTGTTCATTCGGAACGTCTCTTTGCCAACCATACTTTTTTATCTCTATCAATCACATCTTCGTGAAGTAAAGGATTCCATCACAACCCCACAGGGTTTCTCTTCCGGCTGTGTGGAACAACGTGTGGGTGAATCCCCGACATGGTCAGCACTAATGTATGAGATCGACCTAGGAAATGATAGGGGAAAATGTTGTCGGAAAGACGTCAGTGATACAAATCTGGTGTTCTGATCTTGCAACTTTAGAGGCTAATTCTTTTTGGCGCCGACTACCTATAAAAATCGACTCGATGAAGAATTGCATCTAAAATGGTGATCCAACAACTATCCCTTCGTATCGAATATCCAATAAGTCGGCTTACAATGAGTCGGTTTGCTATGGTTGAGCGAGCATCAATTCATAGGTTGTATTTCGCACCAAAGTAAAGCCAGAGGATTTCCTCGGGTACCCGGGTCTCTTTCGTGCGCATCTCAATATCCCATATACGGTCGACGATTGGTGGTTAATGATGTAGGATTCACATCTTGCCTACCTCCACGTGGTATCCCTAATCCTCTCAAGCCCTATGAACCCACCTACTTATCACAGGGGTGGGGAGTTGATAGTCCTAAGCCGGTCAATAATTGCCGCAAAGTGCAGACTTTACGAATGGTTGCCTAAGCTTCCCATGAACTAGATCGTGAACTCAACACCAATAGGAGTTAAGGCACAGTCGATATTTCTAATCTATAACCTGATTATCCGATAGTCATATGCGAATCGTGAGCGCCACCAAGCATTCCTGTGCAAGTGACACACGCCACTTATCTCACATCAACGTTCTGGGCGAAGCGATACTTTTGCCGGTTCAAGCTGCTTTAGCGATAATCGACTGATGGACCGGGATGAGAAGTGTTGGCAGGCTCAAAGGAAAGAAAAGAACGATGAGATGTAAATGATACTAATAACTAAACTGGCCTCGAGCTACCTTGAACCTAGGTACATTCGCGTTGTTGCTTGGGTAAAGTTCGCCATCTACTATCTCGGGTATCAACTATCCGGGGTATCACAACACTATTCATTTTCATGTCATACCAACATCTAGTAGTGGTGTGGGGTGTTGTCTTCTCTTGAGCATGTTTTTTATCCGAAGTGAATTATTTCTGGGCTCGAAAGATGTAGGATTCCTTACGTGCTTAGGTACCTTGGTACGCAAGTCGAGACTTTTCAAAACAGCAATGTTCATTGTAACTCGTGAGAATCGAGAATGCCTTTAAATTAGGTATCTAGGTGATGCTGTGGTGACGATCCTCTTACTCGATCCTCCTCCTATCTTCGTATGTTGGGGATTGCCGAATTCGTGACCTTCGCCGAGAATAACGCTGTACCGGCTTGGCGGGCTGACCTTTGTTACCCTAACAGTAATGCTATTGCCGCCTTTCTCATTATATCTAATATTGGTGAACGAGTAAGTAGATCGGCTAGGTATTGGGAGTGAGTACTTGAACTTGGACCGCGAAACAACCTAGATAATCGTATGGCTTTAGAGATGAGTGGTTGAATTTTTTCCTTTCCCCTTTTTTACCTGTTAGAGAATCCCAGAACACACCGACTTTCCCTAGAACCAACTTTTGTTTCCCTTGAACTCATCTAAGAGTCCATATATCGTGATAACACATCTGCTTTAAAATGTAGGAACGGAGATTGGATGATTGGACTTGAGAAAATCTTTGTCATCAATTCATTATAGAGCTACTTACTCAATAGAGTAGATACACTCCCATGTATTGTATCTCTTCTTGCTACATCTTCAACCAAGAGATTGAGCACCCAACCTATTCTTATCGCCGGGCTGGTAATACTCGTTCTAGACATTCGTGGACCTAATAATCATCAATAAGTCGCAATTCAACGCAAGGGGTGTTAGGAAGACTTACTTCAGGACCCCAAGCTCCTTGGTTTTCCAAATACCTGCTCATACCTTTTACCAAATCCATCTGTTCCTCCAACGTTAACCCAGTAATAGCCAACTCCATGACATTACCAAAGTTGACCTTGTGTTGCGCGATAAAAGTTTGGTAGTAGATGAAGGCGAAGAATCCCATAATGAATTGACAGTCCATCCTATCCGTCATTCCACCATGTCCAGGGATGGAGTCACCGAAGTCCTTGATCTTGAAGGTACGCTTGAGTCCAGATGCGAAGAAACCACCAAAAGGTGCAATTAAAGAGGCGAAGGAGGCCAGAATGATGGAGTGAAACTGCATGGGTTCCATGGTGATAGAGAAGCTAGAACCTTCTGGGAGGAAGAATAGTTGAGGTAGAGTGTAGGTACGAGCTAGGAAGACGGGATTCGGATCACATTCGAGGCCAGTGAATATATTGGCACCTAGGTCGTTGACGGGGCAGATGAAGTACTTGGAGCGCATCAGGACGTTGGTTAGAAGAACGGCCCATATGATGGTCATGAACCAAGCGCCAACAAACCCTTCCACTGTCTTTTTTGGAGACAGCTTGATTAGTTGTGTCCTTCCAAAGGTAATACCACAGATGTAGGCGAAAATATCATTAGTAATAACGAGGGAAGCTGGTAAGAAGAACCAGATCATGCCCTCAAAGACGTTATTCATGACGAAGTGTGCTTGGACGACGATCAAGTACAATGCCATATGTGTCCAAGCAAAGTTGGTGAATTGGAACTTGAGGTGGCCAGCTTTAAGGTTGGCGACGAAGAAAACGAAGCCGATGACATATAAAATGAAGCTGATAAAGCGGTGGTGCGTGGCAAGAGGAAGCAAGACCTTATCGACTAGCACAATATGCTTGAAATAGTAAATGACGGTCTCGCCGTACAGGAAATACATAGTCGTCGCAAGCCAGTACCAGTTTAGGCTTTTAGTAGGGCGTAGTTGTCGAGCTCGACTAGGAACGCTAGCTATGGCGATGACTTCTTTAAAAGATACGATTTGAACGACGGTAATACAGGCGATGATATATATATGACCTGCAAATAAAGCCGTGAAAAAACCTCCGATCATTACAAGAGTCCAAAAGGCTCGAGTGATGAAGTTTGCTTTTTTCTTTTCGTAATCGGATTCAGGTGCTTTCTATGAATAGCCATGTTAGTTGGTCCGTCTACCTTAATAGGGAAGCATGTAATGTAAGACTGTGTAATAAGAAAAGGCTATGTGTAGTTGTGTGTAGTGAAGAAAGGTGATGAACCTTGACAGTTCTTCGATATAGAATTGCGAAATCTTGCTTAGGCGAACAAAGAAGACATTGGCAGTAAATGGTAGAATGGAACGTACTTCGCTGATGCCATCTAGTTGAGGAGAATTCTTGACCTTGACAGGCGACCCAGAACCATCTTCGCTTATTTCGCTAAAGCTCGATCTTCTCCCTTCGGATGAGGCATGACCATTGCCGTTACGGCCAGGGAATCGAACCCCACGACGCGGTTTCGTCATGGTAGTGGTTATGTTCGCGTTTGCGAAAATAGGGTAGGTCGGAATTCGGCGCCGAAAAAGAAAATGCCTAGCTAGAGTAAGTTCGCTTGATGACACGAAGGGAGCGTTCGAGAAATTTCAATCGAATGTCGCAGGCTGGTTTTTGGTAGTTATTGTTCGGCTGAACCGGAGATGGCGTTCACGATGAAAGGTTCGAGGGGAATCGACGATGTTAAAGATCGAGAATCGAGTTTCGTATAATAGATATAATCCCGAGGATTAGAACCGATATTATCACAATTTCAAATGAATAGACTCGACTTGACGAATATTTTGACGAGGGATGAAAAGTTGGGACGAAATATCAAGAAAGTGGGATGTCGGATCGTCGGCTGATGATAGATTGGCGCTGAGAGGCTGATTTGGGCGGACGCCTTAGACACGTAGCTGAGTACGTTCTTGGACAGATGGGTAGGTACCTAGGTAGGCAGATAGGTAAGATTCTAAGAGGTATTTCAGTTAGACATCCATTAATTTGTCCTAGTCCCAAACTTGGATTTGAATCTTGACGCCTAATAGAATTGTTGATGAAGCTGACGAGAACAATAGTAAGGGTGACGACGGGAAGTTTTTCTCTTCCTCTTCCTCTTCCGTTTTCCTCTTTTCGTATATTCGCTTTGATGCTTCGATCTGACAGAAAGAGACACCTTATTTTGATTTGTATTACTTTTTCTTCCCTGATTTTGACCACACTCGCGACGGGGGATGATTGATTGTAGGTACTTAGCTGGCTGAGCTTTTTGCATCCTACAATTACATTACAATACTAGGGTGGAGACCAGTTAGGCTAATGCTTGGCTACGTCAAGGGGTGGCTTAGACTTAATCCGAGATATGTATTGTGGCGTACATTTCTGGGCACTCGCACATGTAATTTTCATAAATTAGATGTACATACATACATACCTAGGTCCGTATTTATGAAATTTTAATAATGTCGTCATCCCGCATTTCTACCTTGCGTACATGTACCTAAGTACCTACGACAATGCCACTCTAGATAATGACCTTTTCTTTTAATATCCTCATCTATTCCGACGTTCAACCTCTTAGTCTATCTACCCTCTGATATAGGGAATATCATACGTTGATTCTCAATGATTTTACATACCAAACTTGGGTCATGGTTGATACATCGCATGGTCAACTACAAACTCCTAGAGTAGCATGACAAACTCAACGATACTCACAACGTGGTCTTGATTACCTACCTGGGGTATATCTAGGTATATCTAGAGATTGCTATCCTCGTATATTCATAAGGCAACAAGGTATCTTCATACATAGCCAGAAAACATCACCCCCCGAAGAAGCGACCTAATTCTTCACCCTCTTCTGGTGTTACCGCTAATTCCAATAATTCGTGCGCCAGCTCTGCCGTTTCTTCCGATACCAAATCTTCCGAGAAATTGAGTCTTCCTAAGCTTACGAGGTACTTTTGGGACAGCCCCACCGTCTTGGCTAATTTGTTTGAAACATTTACCAAGTCGGAAGTCAATGGGTTTGTGATGATCGTGTGTAGTAGCAATATTGTACGCGCTACCAACGTCTGCAACTCCTTTTCCGAATCGTCTTCTTCAATTGACTGATATCGCATATCCCCATCGTAGAGCTCATCCATACATGAGGAGAGTAAAATGACTAGTCGAGGAATAGCGTGGTTATTGATAGCAAGTTGCGCAAGACCAAACGAAGATCTAGCAAAAGCCGCCAGCGTTCTTAATACCGCGTTTCGAACACTTCGCAGTTTGTATTGATCAATATCCCAACGTGGCTTTTCGATAAGTTGAAGAGACATTCTCTCAATCACCGCACCTGCTACCTCCTCTACCGTCTTCACGGGACTGATGGGTCCAATACTGTCCGGTAATACTGACGTACATAGCCAATTCATGATTACCAAGTAATCCTCTACAGGATGTTTTTGGCTAATATGATAGAGGACAAACTCGACTTGAACCTGACTCCAGAAATCGGCTGCGGGATCTACAATACCGCTGATGGGTGGTGAAGCCGCACAACCTAGAGCAGTTAGATATAAAAGCGAGAGAATTTCCGTAGGCGAAATATTCGCGTTGAAATCTTTCCATTCTTCCCCTAGCGGATCTCCAGGACCTTCATGATGCCACCTTGGAATTCCAACCCCAAAACAGGATTCCATAGCGATTGGTAGGAGAGATGGCGCGATATAGGGAGCAACAGCAGCGGTATGCAATTGAAGGGTTAGAGATATCAAAGAAACTAGCTCCATTATAGGTTCCAACTGTAATATCATTAGCTGCTCTCCCCTTTGCCTAGGATTTATGGGATGGAATTGAAGGTAGTCTTACGTAATGGTCATTAAGACAACTTTGCCATAGCTGAATCACCTCTTCACAAAACTCTATGGGGAGACGCATAGGATCTTCAGTATCATCAATTATCGCGAATTTCTGAAGGAGAATCGAACCTAGACTTTCCGTAGGTCTTGAGGGAAGCTTGAATCTAGTCAGATATTCGAAAGTAAGTCCGCGACCACGTGTGGAACTATAATTGAGCACCACCTTCTTATACTAGGGAGAATTAGTACGTAGTTGATAATATAGATAAGTGTCATATGAATTTGGTCCCAACATACATCAGATGGTGTAGCTCTACTTGTGGTATTCATTGGTTGTAGGTTATTGGTGTCGTGTGTGTTTGGATAGTCTAGCATTACAATATCCTCTGATTGTATTTCTAGAGCCGTGACGGGACTATCAATGGCTGGACGTTTTCGTTTCCCTCTTGTCGGAGTTTTGGCTTGTCTTGCGGGAGGCTCGACAACAGTATTGGCTACGGCACCGATATTCCTACCGCGTTGTCCTTTACTTGGACTAGCGGCCATCTCAACATCTTCAAACCCATCAGCAATACCCCATGACTTTGCGGCTGCGTTTTTCTTAGGTGTAACTGGGCCATCTTTGCGCTTGGTACGGTCAAGCTCATCTTTAAGATCTCGCCTGGTAAATTCGAGCTCCGTACTAGCAGCCTGCTGAGCGGCCTTTGCAGCTTCAAGTGCTCTCTCATGCTTAGCTAATTGTTCGGCAGCTTGTTTCTTTAACGTCTGAAGTTCGCGATCGTGCTCTTCACGCGTTTTTTCTAACCGTTTCCGAACAATGCCTATTTCGCCGTCTTTGGTAGTAAGTCGTGTTTTTAGGTCTAAGATTTGGGCTTGGAGAGATGCAAGTTCGTGGTTTGATGGCGCGTTCAATCTTGGGGCTTGCGAAGCTTGGTATCTCGGAGCAATAGAGGGGGCCGGTCGAGGTAAAGGAGGAGGTGATCGGATATGGCTATAAGAGGGAGCCGGCGCGCGAGATGTAGCATTTTGGGATTGGCGATAATTGGTAGGAGCTTGTATCGGATGTCGAGAAGAAGCGATTGATTGTGGATGAAAGCGATTAGGAGGAACTGGTACTGTACCAGTCCAAGCTGCTTGATTTGGTTGTTGGGGAGCTACCCTCGAAGGAATTGTTGTCGCATTTTCTGGTAATAGGACGGGATTTCCACCACGTAATTCATCTTGTACAACGGTGTCGTCGAGGTCATCGTCATCGAAATCAGCCTCGAGTCGATGCTGAGTTTGGGAGGGTTGGTATTTTTTCTGGCCTTGTGTAAATTGAATGGCATTGTTTTCGAGTTCTTCCAAAACATTCGCATTTAAGGCGTCAAAGTCATCGTCGGAAAAATCGTCCATGGCGACTCGGAGAGTCTGGGGCAATTATATATAAGCCCATTGGCGCGATCCCATAATAGATTGTAGTAATCTAAGCGAGATATGATTTCGGCCTTGATTTAATTGTTGTTTCTTTTTCTTGTCGAAGGGAAGTTACTGTAGTTACTGGATCTGCGATATGGCATCAGAGTATGTACCTAGGTACCGATTTTACTGCAGATTCATGCGAGATTACGTAATTATCCTATCTTATCTTTTTCATCCCCTCACTCCGGACCCACCATAGCTAGAACCTTTCCCAATACAACCTCATTTACATAGCACAATTCGGGTCGTATTATTCGAATGTCTCTTAATTCGCACCGACTTACATCTACTTGGACGCCGCGTCGCTCACCTTTCTCTATATTTACGTAAGCGTTGTGCTGGTATCGCACTATTCTTCATAAGCATCGACACTTCTATTGGTTGATGAGAACCGCGATGTTTCCCTAAAAAGGATATTCTATCAGCATGGAACATCCACGAGAAATTGAGGGTTCCAACTCAATTGGTTACCTCCAACGATCTTTCAATGGTATTTATTTGTGCGACATTGATAGACATAGAAAAACACCGAAAGTTGTCTTGGCATCAGCAAGAAAAGAACGTTGCCGCCTAGAAAGAGACGAAGGATTCTTTCCAAGCTTGAAGTCTTACAATCTATTGGATAAACAACGTGGCTGAATACCTAGGTAGGTAAGACTAGACTTCGAGGTGAGAGTAGTAAAGAAGTCTAATATTCCGCGCCTCTTTTCCCTGTCGAACTTTCAAAGTCCCAATTCCGGAGGCCTCTTGTCATATTTGAATAGTCGAACATCAGATCATCATTAGATCTAAGCTAATTGTTACTGACACATCTAAGGACATATGCAAGTATCTTTATAATCAAATCAAGTCTTTCAATATACGATTTCCATTAATCGTCGCCAATTTGCATATATCTACCTAGGTATATAAGAGTAGACATCCTTCTTCCTCTTCGCTTCACTTCTACTCATCACCAAGCCCGTCACCTTAAAACGTACTAGTCGTCCATCCCGGTACCTCAGTAGGTTTACATCGGTGTACCTCTCATTTTACAGAAATATTACGTTTACTTTATACGCCTATCTCCATTTAACATCATGAATCCTGCAAACCAACAATATTACGGTCAATACCCGTCAGCTCCTCCTAATCAAACAGGACAACCTCATTCAGGATACCAGCGACCTCCCCAAGGGACATCTTACTATCCCCCTGCCGAGTTGCCAGCACCAGTACAACCATCATACCAGCAGACTTCATATTCCAATTATGGTCCTCCTCAGAATCAGTCACAGCCCAGTCAATATCAACAATATCCTCCACAACAGTACCCTGGCGGACCACCTCAAGCTCTCCGGCCCTTCTCTCAAGCCCAACCTGCGCAATACCAGAATCAGCCCTATTCCGCTCAACAGCTACCTCAAGCACCTCAGGCGCCATATGGTCAACCACCAGCTCAGTATGGACAGTTTTCCCCAAACGCATATCAAGGACCTAATGGGCCGAACCCACAAGGACCAGCGCCTTATCCTCCCCAACAACACCCTATACATGTAAGTATTCTAGAGACATCATTTGTTGCTCTAGCTTATTAACGATATTTTAGCCGGGTGCTCAACAGTGGCCGCCATCACAGCAGTTTCCTCCGAATCATGGATATGACGTACCCCCAACTCCACCCTCAGCAGGATACGACCAAGCCCAGAGAGCGTATCACGCCCCAGTTGATACTTCAGCCGATTGTGAAGCTTTGCGAAAGGCTATGAAAGGAATGGGATGTGATGAAGCAGCTCTTATCCGCGTGCTAACCTCAACAAAATATGACAACCCATGGGCGATGGCACAACTTGTTCAAGACTATAACAAGCGTTTCATTCGTGATTTAGCCAAAGATATTGAGAGTGAAACTCGCGGCGATTTGGAAACAGCACTACTAGCTCTTATTCGTGGCCCCCTCGAGAATGATGTTAGGGTTCTTATTAAGGCATTGGATCGCGCCGGCACCGACGAAGATGCTCTTATGGATGTTCTTCTATGTCGCTCGAATGCCGATATTCGCGCCATTACTACCGAATACAAGAGAATAAAGGGACACGATCTTTTAGTAGATATTAAGGATGATGTGGATGATACGCTATTCCGACTCTACAGCATGGTACTCTCGGCAACCAGAGCCGAAGATACAGCACCCATTACCGCCACAGATATTGATCAGAAGGTGACAGAAGTACAGCGCGCGACCGAAGGTATGATAGGTACCAATGCTATCGCTGTGGCTCAGGTTTTTGCTAGCTGCAATGCTTCTCAACTACACGCTGTCTCGGAGGCATATAGGCGAAAGTACCATCGCTCACTCGAGGAGGTCATCGAAAAGGAGTTCCGAGGTGATATGGAAGACGCACTACTCTATATGCTAGAGAGCGCTATCGATAGAGCGCGGTCGGATGCCAAGAGACTGGAGAAACCACTTTACAGGACACCACGCAAGGATCGACTTTTCATCAATAGAGTCGTTAGCTTGTACTGGGATCGGAGTCGTTTAGACGCGGCTAAGAGTGCGTATCAAAGATACTCCTCTACAAGGGCATCACTTCGTAACTCGATTAAAGCTCTTTTGAGTGGAGATTATGAGGACTTGATGGTGGCTCTAATTCGCGAGAGGAGGTAGGTCTAGAATTTGGAGACTGACATGAATTGTTAGCCTAGGTACATGACTACTTCGGTAGGTAGTTTCTCAAATATATTGATTCTGGTTCCTTTACTACCTTTGCTTCGTGTGAATTTCCCCCAGGACAGTCTCTCCGATTGTCCTCTTCTAAGATACACCACTTTGTGTCCCAAATTATCGCTCCGATATAGTACCTATAGATATCCGACCTATTTCTAATCTCCTAATAATACCAAATCAAATATACCATCTCTCAATCTTCAACCCCACGCGCGTGCGAAATACGAACATCCCCGAAGCCTTAACCCAACATCGCTACTCATACCACCATTTCGAAAAACATCAGATTCATGTATAGCCGATTAAAATGGTATGAGTCCTAGATTTAGAGTTAAGCAGGTCGTCACTTGAATCATTAGGACAGCTCGTTAGAAACTTTGACAGCCTTTTCATTTTCAAGTTCGTGACATCAGCTCTGGTTACTATTATTTTTACTGCAAACCCAAGTACAATGACAGCCACATAATATTCAAATAGAGCCAAACGATTATCTCATGTAGTACTGTACATAACAAAAGACCAACTACCTAGGTAGACGGTCGTAAAGAGGACAAAACGACTCTGTTGTTGCGCGAGGAGTGTGTAAGTTACTGCTATGAAAGTCTTCGTCTACATACACCAACAGCCCTTTTATCTTCATCGCACCTTTATTCTCATCTTATCAATAGGTACCTAATGACTTTTATTGATGTCAATTACATGGATGTAAATTTGATGATAGCATCTACCTCCTTAGTAGCCGTTAGATTTGGAGAATGGCCGGAGTCGACCTTCACTGTCTCAATTTGCTTCCCTCCCTTCTCCATAAACTCAACAAAACTCTTCTGTTGGTAGAGGGGGTTGGTCAGATCAGTACGCGTGTAGATATAGGAAACCTTGACATCGTCACTCCAAGCGGGGGTGTTCTGGAGTGGTTGATGCATGTACTCCCCATTCCAACGACACAGGGAAGCCAGGTATGTTTTGAGCTCCTTTGGATCGAGCTGATCAGCGAAGGGTTGGCCAACTAATCCCTCTTTTGGAAAATTTGGTACGCAGCTTCGGTCTTCGTCAAATCCAAAGGCGATGGGCATATCATCCATGTGACCGAATTCCGCTACCACGTCCACCATGCTCTTGCCTTGAACTAATGCGAAACCCGTAAGATAGATCAGATGAGAAATCCCTCCGGTGAGCCCCTATGCGATACGTGTTTTCTCGCTCAGCCCGTACAAGGCATTAGTACCAACCTGACCACCGTAACTATGTAACACAACCACAACTGTTCGACCCGCTTCGACGAGGCTTGTTGCGTAAGAGCGGATGAGATCCGAATCCGAGATGAGGTCGGCATTTGGAGGTCGAGCATTATTCATAGAGAGAAGGCGAGGAATATGAACCTCGAAGCCAGCACCCCGCAGGGCATTGGTAAGTTTTTCGTAGCTGTCGGGTACGTACCAACCACCATGAACGATTAATAGCGTAGGATTATTTTCGGTTGCCATTATTGATTAATTTATGGGTTTAAATTGACTCTAAGAACAAAGATTGAAGACTAAGGGGTAGATGAAAGTTATAAGAGAGCGTATAAGAAGGTTGTTCGCGAGAATGGAAGGAGTAGGGAAATAGGTGCACTCCGCGAAAATATCAGATACTTGGGTATCTACCAAGTGCTGATAAGGGAGCTGGCATGATTCTTGCCCTTTATATCCTAGAATAACGTCTATTAATGTGAAACCCCTCTTTGTGCCAACATATACCGAGATACATGTATATTTTGTCCCTTGCTTCGGCGTGTTTGTACCACATCCATGTCACCTAGGTGTAGCTACCAACATTCGAACTCATCCTTGACCTGCACCCGCACTTTTCGATCCTTTTAATCGATTTTATATTTTATTTGGAATCTTATCAAAAAATGCAATTTTCATTAATTTAATATTTTATACGTCACCCTTGTATAGGCTCGATAATTTACTTGCCTTCTACATTCTGCATTGCCTTAAGCTGTATCTAACTATTTTATTGATTTGCGATAGACTTATTCAGGAGCAAGGGCCAAACTCGCGTCTTTTAGAAGGATGCTTTACAATGGAATTTAAAATGCGATTTGATTTCTTCTCTCGCCTTGTGTTGAATTGTTCGGTCAATCGCGCTTTCATTTTCGCAATTCCACCCTTCAGCTACTTTTCATCATGGCAGGCGGCGCAAATTTAATAAGCATCATATATTCAAAACCCCTCTCGCCAGTAAATCCACAACGATAGCCCCCCGTATCACCCTCCATTCCAGCCGAGTACGTCTTCTAGGGCTATACTGACTACCGTAGTACTATCTCCTTGACCATGCCATAGCTGTAGTATCTCTGGGACACACTACCATGTTGATCTGAATTTTGCAAGCTAAAACTTACACACTATCAATTGCAGGTCCAAAATACCTAGGTATCTTATTTCCACAACATCGGGTACCGGTAGATATTCGTAGTAGTTCCGATTCAGTGGCCGTACGTATCCTGGTGGTCAAGCCAATCAAAAAGATATTTGACGCCAAGAGTTTCCTGATCCGGCAGGAGAGACGGCAGATTACCGTGCGCCGCTGACGACTGTGCGGTATCACAACATCTCACCCCACGGCCAGAATGCTAGCGTATGGATGTAGCAGCTGATATTGTTAGCCGCGTTTAAAACAATGTATTTCGGATATTGTACGTCTTCATATAGCACAGTTAAGACTCACTATGCATATATAAGGTTAAGATAAGGTGAAATTCATTATGTTTTATATTTTAAAATAAGTAAAATAGCTGTCATTATATTTTAAATTAAAATTAAATTATTATTATTTTTTAAATTATATATAATTTTTATTATTACCTTTTATATTATTATTATATATATAAATTAATTTATTATTAATTTAAAATATTATTAAAAAAATTTAATATATTTATAATAAATTTATATTTTAAGAAGGTAATAATTACATAATAAAGAGCATGTGATCTGTTTTAGTTATTATACTCTCTTTTAAGTATGATTATTTTGTTATATATTTTTATAAATAAGACTTTTTTTTTTAGATAATAATATAACACCAATCTCACCCCATATTTTTTTTATTTATTATTATGTGACGAACCTATGCCTCGGAGAGGTATAGTCGTTGCTGGATTGGCTAATCTAGGTGTCTTAATTTGAAGGTAACAGTATTAATAATAGGTTAAGTGGTTAAGTATATTCTGTTCGTCAGAGAAGCTTAGAATCCTTTTATTATATTTGAAAGAATAATCTTGAATTAATAATTAAAGAATTATAAAAAAAATAATTAAATATATAGGAAATATCCATAATTATATAATTATTCCTTCTTCCTTTTTCATTTTAAGGTTATTACAATGTGTTGTAATGTATTACGATGTATTGCGATGTGTTGTAATGTATTGTAATGTGTTATGATATGTTGTAATATGTTGTAATGTGTTGCGATATGTTATAATATGTTATATCTTAATATATTAAATTGGAGTTTAGTCGTAATAAGTTACTCATACTCCATCTTTTACGATCTTAATAAGGATCTTTTATAATTAATTTATAATATTATATCCTTCCCTTTAAAATCTTTATCCTTAAAAATAAAAAAGGTAAATATTTCTTCTTTTTTTAATCCTATATTTATTATATAAAAATCATATCTAAAAAAGTATAAAAGCCAAATATTTATTTTAATTAATAATAGGAATATCACATTTATATAGATTATATTAAAACTCATGGTCGACTTATCCTTCCTTATTTTAATTATAATGCCTTTAAAAAAGACTATTTTTTATTTATTAATTTTAAAGTCTATAATTATTATATTTATTAGAATTGAAAATGTTATAACATCCTAGAAATAAATATTTTTAATTATATTTCTTAAGCTTATATTTATCTAGAATAAGAATATAAGGATATAAAAGATAAACTAATCCATTTTATGACAAACCTATGCCTTAAAAAGATATAGTCGTTGTTAGATTGGCAAATCTAAGATGTCTTAATTTTAAGGTAATAATATTAATAGTAGGTTAAATAATTAAGTATATTTTATTCATTAAAAAGGCTTAAAGTCCTTTTATTATACTTAAAAGAATAGTCTTAGATTAATAATTAAAAAGCTATGGAAAAAGTAACTAAATATATAAGAAATGTCCATAATTATATAGTTATTCTTCCTTCCTTTTTCATCCTAAGGTTATTGCGATATATTGTAATATATTGTAATATATTATGATGTATTGCGATGTGTTGTAATGTGTTGCGATGTGTTGCGATGTGTTATGATATGTTATATCTCAGTATATCAAACTAGAGTTTAATCATGATAGATTACTTATGTTTTATCTTTTATGGTTTTAATAAGAATCCTTTATGGTTGGTTTATAATATTATACCCTTTCTTTTAGAATCTTTACCCTTAAAGATAAAAAAGATAAATATTCCCTCCTTTTTTAATCCTATATCTATCATATAAAAATTATATTTAAAAAAATATAAAAACCAAATATTCATTTTAATTAATGATAGGAATACCATATTCATATAAATTATATTAAAACTTATAGTCAATCTATTCTTTTTTATTTCAATTATGACATTTCTAAAAAAGATTATTTCTTATTTATTAATTTTGAAATCTATAATTATTATATTTATTAAAATCAAAAATATTATGATATCTTAAAGATAAATATTCTTAACCATATTTCCTAGGCCTATACTCATCTAAAATAAGAATGTAAGGATATAAAAGATAAATTAATCCATCTATAAGAAAAAATAACAAAAAAGATTAACAAGTTATAACAACTCCATTATTAAAAAGATTTATTAAAAAGATATGATCTAAAATTATTAAAACTTAATAAAAAACAAAATATTAAAGAAGAATAGGCTTATCTAATAAAAGAATAGGTTTATATAATTAAAGAATAGGTTCAAATTAAACAGGAATATATTATTCTTATCTTTAAGGTTTCTTCCTTAATCTTCCCTTCTTCCTTATTTAAGATAAACTTTGATCTTAATCCAATATTATTATCAACTATAGCCATATAAACCTTGGTTGGTTAGGATTCTGATAATGAAAATCTTTAATTAATTTCTAAATTCCTTTACTTATAAAATATTCTTATAATTCCTAGATATTATTTTTTTTTAAATATTTAAGCCATTTAATAAAATATTTGATTTGATTATTAGTAATTTTAGAATCCCAAATGGCTTCGACATTATATTCTTCTGGGTCTTCCTTTAATTCAATATTTCCTTCAAGTTTAACATTCCTAAACATTAATTTAAACATGGTAATATAAAATACATTAGTTCTTAATTTCATATTTATCAATAATTATAAATAATAATTTATATTTGAAAAGACTTTTTTGATTAAGAAAGGTCTTAACCTCTTAAAATTTAATTTCTTATTTAATCTTTTAGTTTAAATCTATAATATTTTTAATATTAAATTATCACGAACTAGTTTGGGGATAACCAGTTAAGCCATAAAGCAAAAGCTTCCTAATAACCAATTAATTACTATTCTCTAATTCTATATTATATATATTATCCTATAGTTTAGAACATAATATCATATCTTCTTTCCATAAGGTATATCCCTATACCATATCATATAAGGAAAATCAAGCTTCATATTTCCTAATATATATATCATATTATAAAATGGACAAAATTTTATACCTATACATTAAAAATATAATATAGGGAAATTCCAAGGTTCCAAACTGGTGATACCCCTGCCAGCCAGGATCCCTTACCTGCCTATTATTGATATTACTTAAAAGCTCAGAAAATAACAAAGCTTTTATCTAATAATTATGGGAATTAAATCCACATCTCCTACTTTAACAGGTGAAATTAATCATTATATTATAAATTAATTTAGGAATAACTAATTGAATCATAAAACAAAAGCTTTCCAATGACCAATTAGTTACTGTTCCCCAATTCTATATTATATGTGTTATCCTGCAGCTTGGAACGTAACATAAATATTATTTATCTTATAAGAAATAGACTTTATCTCCCTTATATAAAATTAATCCTTTAATTCTTTTTTTATTATAATATATTACCATTTATTTCTATAAGAATTTAAAATATTGCCTAAATTTAATTTGTAATATTAAAGTTCTAATAACAAACATTTCTATTTAAGGTAATATCATTTTTAATTCTAAGGTGGCCTTATTTATCAACGGTTCATGTTTTATATCCACTTATCATCCATATAATGTTTCCTATGATGACATCCCGGTGATATTACTTATTAAAATATTATATAAAGATATAATAAATAATAGAAATTCTACCTAATTATCTTATTTATAATTAATATAATTTTATAAATATTACTCTAATATCTGATTTAATTACTTTATTTAACTATTAATCTAAAGGTAAGCCATTATAAAAAACTTTTATTTGATTCCCAGCCT